TTAAAAGCTAATAGTCTTTTTAATCTAAATCTTAAGATAAGGAATACTAGATTATAATAGTTTTTATATTATTTCTAGAATCTATTAAAGTAATTAGTACTTTATAAAGATTACCTACTTATAGTTAAGCCCCTCCTATTATCTTAATTCTTAGTAGTTTTATCTTTAATTTTTAAATATTAAGTTAAAGGGCTAACCTAATATTAATTAGACTTATAATAGCCCCTATATCTAGGATAACTTAAATAATATTTATCTAATTAGCTAAAATACCTATTATATAGAAAGGTTTAGCTATTATTTCCTTCTATATAAGTTCCTTTTATATTAGGCCTATTTTAAACTCTATTTATAGCTCTTTTTTTAAATTCTATATTTTTAGTTTTAGAAGATTAGTATAAACTAGAGTAGTAGAAGAACTAATTATACTATCTAGCTTCCTTTTCCTAAGTCTAGTTTATTAGTATTTTTATTCTTAGGATATTTTAGTATAATATACCTAGGTTTATTATATTTATAATAAATAATTTCTTTCTTTCTTTAAGATAAAAGATATTTATTCTTTTAATAAAGTATATATAGTCTTCCTTAATAATCTAGTTTTAGTCTATTTTAATCTTAATAGTTATTCTTATAGTTTAGTTTATACCTTTTATTTATACCTTTTTATAGTCTTTAGTCTAAAGGTCTTTATTTTAAAGTATTACTTTCTTAGTATTAGGTTATAGCTAAGACTACCTCTTCTCTTATCTTTAAGTTCTTATTTATATAGTTAATAATCTTTTTCTATAGCTACTCTTATAGTTTTATAAGGTATTACTAAACTCTCCTAACTTCTAAGAGTATTAATACCTTCTTTTTTAATAAATCTAGGTAAAAATAGAAATCTATAAGGTATTAGCTTAGCCTTTATCTAGTAGACTTAAAGGTAATAGCTATATTTATCTTTAGGTTAGCTAAGTCTTTTAGTAAGACTTTACTTTATTTTATAAAGTAATCTTAGTCTTTACTATATTCTTCTTACTTACTTAATAATAGCTTATCTAGGTATTAATCCTATTTAGCCTAGTAGGCTAAGTCTATATATTCCTAGGTATAGATAATTTTTAAAGATTCTTTATAAAACTTCTTTAAATTAGCTATAAAGGCTTTTTATAAATCCCTTTTTTATTAATTATAGATTTAAAAGTTATATTAGTTTAATAGTTTAGTAATATTTTAAATCTAAATACCTTAAGAAAGGTAACTATCTTTATTACTTTCTTTTTATAATAAATAACTTCCCTTATTTAACTTAGTCTTTAGGAGTTAAAACTCTTCTTTTAAAATATTCTTCTACCTAGCTTTATAGATCTATTATTAGATCTCTTTCTTTTCTTTATTTAGTAAAGAAGATATATTATCTCTAGCCTCTTTAAGAAAATTATTAATTTCTTAAATTATATTATCCCCTATTAGTATAGTAAGGGAATATCTTAGAAGAGGTTAAAGAGATAAAAGAGTTAAGATACCTCTTTCTTTTTATAATTTAGTTTTATTTTTAATAAGGCCTTCTATTTTCTTTCTAAATAATCCTTTTATAAAAGCTTTAAAATTATAATAATTAGGTTAGATTAGGTAGAAAAGTAGGAAGGGAAAAAGGTAGGTTATATTACTTATTAAAACTAAAGCTTATCCTTTTTTCCTTTTAAGAAATATCTCTCTTATTTTATAATAACTAAAAAGAGGATAACCTATCTTTTTAATTAGAGTTTAAATATTATTTAAATACTAGTTAAAACTTATATAAACTAGTCCTATTCTTATAAGTCTACTTAAGGTCTTAATTTAGGCTTAACTTACCTATAAGTCTTACTAATTTTATAACTAATTCTTTTTTAAGGTAACTCTAGTCCTTTCTACCTTATAGTAGATTAGTTATCTTATATAATTTATACTTACTATAAATTCTTAGCTACTATACGTCTAGTGCTTATAGTATACTATATATAGCTCTCTAAGTATTTAGACTATTTACCTTTATAGGTACTAAATTGGCTTTAATTTGAATTATATACTTAGAGTATTATATTATTTTTATTATTTATCTTTTCTTTTTTACTTTAGTTATTTATATTTATATAGAATTAATTAATTACTTTTTAGATATTATTAATCTCTTTATTTTCTTTAATACTTTTAATCTTAGCTAAGTATACTTAATATCTTTTAGTAATTAGTAACTTTAAGTAGTTTTTACTAAACTACTTCCTCTTAGCCTCTTTATATTCTTTCTAGGAGTAGTTAGTTAACTAATATTCCTCTTTTTTATAAATAAAGTATTTCTTTAAAGATTAACTTCTTTAATTATTTTTATTATAAAAGTTATTCTTTTTTTATAATTATTAATAGTAATTAAAAAGTTAGTTTTAACTATAGTTATTATTATTATTACTTTTAAATTTATAATCTATAAAAAATATATTTATAAAGGGTTTATTAATTTATTTATATATAATAATTAATTATTAAATATTAACTAATAACTTTTTAAAACTTATAACTAGCTTAAATAATATAAAAATATAGGCTAGAATACCTTAAACTATTATCTAAAGGGTCTATATAAGATTCTAAAAGCTATATAATTAGCTATTAAATATCCTTTAATATAAGCTTTATATCTTATTAGTTATAATTATTAAATATTAAGTTATACTTTTACTATTATTTTTTTTTATTATATCTATAAAAAAGAAAGCTAGCTATTCTTAATAATATTTATTAATCTTAATAGCTAGCTTAAAGTATACTTTAATACTTATAATAAACTTCTTAAATTCTATACCTTTATTAATAAGGTTTATAATATAGAAGTTTTAGGCTTAATTTCTTAATATAATAAAGAATATTTAATTAAATATATCTTTTAAGATTTTAAACCTTTTATATTTATTAAGGAATAGGTAGAATTTAATATTAAAGAAGTTATTTTTATAGCTTTTAAAGAACTTTTTAATATCTTAAAAGTTCTTTTTAAAATTAACTAGTTTATAAGGGATATTTACCTTTAGCTAAAGAGAATTATAGTCTTCTTAATATAAATTAAATTTTAATTAATTATAAATTAGGTTATAGTAATTAAGGTTATATTAACCTAGATTATAACTACTATATTATTATTTAAATAGTTATTAATAATTATTTCTATTATATCTTAGGCCTTAGAAATAGTTATTCTTAACTATTTTATAAGGTATATATTCTTTACCTTTAGTTATAATATTTATTATTAAGTAATTAGTAAAGTAGTTATTTATAGTTAAAGTTTAATAACTACTTTTAATATTAACTATAAGATATTTATTATTATAATATTTAAATATTAAGGTTTAATAATTACCTTTTTAGTCTTTAGGGATTCTAAGGAATTCTAGAGTTATAGGGTATTTATCTAAATCTTCTTATATACCCTTATTTCCCTAATTAAGATATATATATTCCTTTATTTAATAATTCTATTCTTTCTATATTAGTTCTTACTTTTATTAAGGTCTTAAATAAGATAGTTTTTATACTTATTTATTAATAGGTCTTCTAGCTAGATTAGGGTTATTAGTTAATAGTATATTATAAAGGCTTATAGTATTTTAATATAATTTAAGTAATCCTTATCTTTTTTTAGTTATTTTAATAGTCTCTCTATTTTTAATAGTTTTACTAGTTAGTTTTATATCTTAATACCTAGTTTAATTAGTATATAAATACCTTTACTTTAAAGAAAATTATAAAGTTCCTTTTTAATATATTAACTAAGCCTATTAAATATAATTAACTATTACTTTTTAAACTCTTTTTAAAAAATAAAAAGAATTTTATTAAAGAATTAATATTTTTATCTTAGTATTTTAAAATATAATTATATTTATATAACTATATTATTTAAATCTTTCTTTATTATTATATTTAAGTTAATTTTTAATAATTAGTTTTTTATTTATTTTTTTATTATAACTTTTATTATATTATAAAATTAGTTTAATAATAATAGCTTTATAATATTTTTATTTTCTATTCTTAGCTTATTTACTATTCTTTAAGATTAACTTAATAATAAATATTTTAAAGTTTTATATTCTTAATAAGCTTTTTAATAGTTTTAATTATTATTATTTACTAAAAATAAAGATTTTAAGAATCTTTTTAAGTTATTTACTATTTTTATTTTTTAGCTTTTAGATTTAATAAAAAGTATATTTATTATTATTTTTAATACTAATAAATAATAAAAATTAAGCTTATTTTATTAATAAATCTTTTTAAAAAGGTTTTAAGTTAAATATAAATTATTAATTTAATAATAAATATTTTAATTAAGTTCTTTAAAAGAAGTTTTTTTATAATAAATAATAAAGTAAATAATCTTTATAGGTTATAATAAATAATAATCTTTTATTTTAAATAATATAAAAGAAATTATAATTAATTTACTTTTTTTTATTTTAATTATTTATAGTTTTTAATAATTATTAATTAATATTAAAATTAAAGTATATTTAAATAATAATAAAATAATAATAATATTAATTTAATTCTTAATAATTAAGATAATCTAGATAACTTTAATATAAATACTACCTTCCTTAATAGCTAGGATTAATAGGTCTATAACCTTTAAAAGTGGGTCTCCTACCTATATGCTGGCTAATAAGAGGCTAGCTTTAAGTTGCCTGCTTGCACAGGGTTAACATTAACAATGCATAAGGCAGGATATTGGTGAAAATTGCACTCCAAACTTGGGACTCACAAATCATATTCTAGAGGCTATATATATATATACCTGGGGAAATCTCAGGATGCGCCTCGTCTACCTGGCTGGGCGTCTACCAAAACACCCGCCCCGCTAAATTTTATCAACCCGCCAGATCCCCTGTTCAGCATCCGCGCGTATCAAACAACTCTTCACCATCGCACTTGCTCATCCTTGATAGCTAGCAGGCTATCCGTATCCATAGTCCGCGATGCTTGAGCTACACGTATGGGGCCCCGTATTCGGGGTCCCCTCTATTGACGCCGAATGCATCGCCGCCATCACATATCTTCATAATGCGGCCAGGGATACCGTTCAGTTCCGCATCGTTCCAAGCAACGACGCCTCCGTAAGCCCCTCAGGTATGTCCCAATCATATGTTTTCTGTGACTTCCCCAATGTGCACGTCTTTTTGGAAGTCGACCAGCTTCCACATACGCGGCGGCTGCCTCGCGCTATCCTCCTCACCGAACCCTGCCTGCATATATGAAACCAGAAAATGTTGACCCTGCTGACCTGAGTTTTCCTCCACTTTCAAAGGCTTGCTTCCCGCCTTGAACCATGATGGCGTATGGACCAGCGGCTACGCCGCGATAGTGAGATACCTCAGCTCAAAGTCACTCGGTGACAACCTCGATGGCCGCCTGGATGCGGCCCAAGGGGCCGATGTCGCTGCCTTTGGAGCCTACCTCAGCGTCCACGCCTCGGCCCTGCTCGATCTCTCCCTCTACGTTTCGGCAGCCAACTGGTCTGCCGTGACGCGGCCCGCGTACTCAACGCTTCTCCGGTTTCCCTTGACCTGGACGGTGCCGACGCTGATTCGCGCCGAGGCCATCCAACGCGTCGAGCACCTCGGGCTCGCAGAGCTCGACACAGACTTTGATCCCCATGGCGGTCTGCATCTCACCGCAGGAAGAGACGCCCTGCCGGAGACGCTCCGCAAGCATCTCCCAGGAACGTCCAATCACAAAAATACTGTCAAGGAGGAAATGACCCCCGAGCAAGCAGTTGCCATCCGACTCTTTAGCTTAACTGAGAATTGCCTGGCAACTTTGGAAGGGCTCCTGTCAGAAACGGGGACGCAACCACCTCGCTTCATCCCAGGGCAAGCCTTAACATCGTTGGACTGCCTCGCTTTCGGCTACCTTGCATTGATGCTGAAAGCGCCTGTGCCACGAGCCTTTCTAAAGGACTGGGTAGCCGAACATGCTCCCCGGATTACATTGTTCGTTGATGATATTCTGGCCAACGCTATCCCATCATCCGACAGTACTGTTTGGGCTGCTCCACCGCATCGTGGCTATCTTCACGCCACTCGCAGGGTTTTCGACTCTGTTGTCCGGCACACGCCTGTTCTTGGCGAGCATTACGCCGGCGAGGTTCGCCGCCGTTGCGAAGGCAAGATTGTCGGCATTGACCAGCGGAGTGTGTCGCTGGCAACCGGGCTACTCTTCACCGGTGCTGCTTTCAGTTACGTGGTCTATTGGTACCGCAACCTTGCACCGTTTGGCGCCCGCGTACAGACTTGGCGCTCATACAAACCGGTCAACTCCCGCCTTAGTCAGTTTGGTGAGCTCGGCTCCATGCTTGATAGTGTCCTTGGCCCTGTTCATCCTGCTGCGAGTCCCATTGCCGCGGGCGCTGGAACAGGTGGGCGCATTGTCGACATCGACTCCGAGATTGACTGAGCATCCTGCCTGAATCGTGGATCAAACGAAAGATCAAACGAAAGCTTTATACCCCCTCCTGTATTTATATAACATGTCCAGTAAATCATGTACAATCAATGATAGAAAGTGTACTTTTATTTAATGTTCCTCATTCAATGAACACCATGCATGCGCTTATAATCTTACAATGACTTTGGAGATCAGCTTCACACTATTTATCTAGCCATGAAGCCTGTCTCATATATAGTTCCAGCTTGAACAGTCTTGTTCAGCAACCACCCACCACGCTACAGTTGCTTTATCTCTTTTCCAATAAGATCAGGTCTCTCAACATCTAGCTCATCTCTTAGCACCGCAAATGCCAAGTCGCTGACGAGCAGGCTCTGGCCCAGGCTCCAAACCAACGTAATGGCGTAAAAGAAGTTGGCATTGCCGCTTCCCGCATAAATCCACAGGTGGTAGAAGGCGGGACCCAAAAATGACGAGTACAGAACCGTCGAGGAAGCGACGAAGCTGTACCGCATGAGCGGGAATAGGTGTCGGTAGAGCGGGAGTACGCCGAGGAACAGTGCCGTGTCAGCAATCGAGGGATATGGCTTAAAGATGGCAAAGATACCCAAAAGCACTGATATTGCCGCCAGGGGTTGCCCACGCATTCGTATCGACAAGCCGCCAACATAGGCACCAAGGTGAAGCCAGAAGACGCCAAGGAAGAAGGCACGAAATGGATCAAAGATTTCAATGAAGAAGTACCACCACAGACCCACGTTGGGGGTCAGGTCTGAGAGTGTCAGTTGGATGCCATATGTGCGCGCGAAGAAGGCCCAGGAATTTCCCGTTAGCGCAAAGGACATGCCAAACAACATGGCGAGGATGGCGGCCACAGCACCAAGGCAGGTAGCCGTAAAGGTTGGCGCGCTACCAATGGCACGCCCAGCGGATTGACGATCGTACGCGAGGATAATGAGCGGCGGGAGGAGCAAGATGGGATACATGGACAAATATGAGGCGAAGGCCAGGGCGACCATGGCGTTCAATGGCGAACCGGCGAGTGCCTTGGCGATGGCGTGGAGGATGGCGCATGTGGTAAAGACGCTGGTGGTGCGACCCAGGCAGGTAGCGATGGTAAGTGGGTTAAATAAGAAGCTGTATCGAGGTTAGTGTCTTGCTTCAGGCGCAGAAAAGTCGGATGCGACATGGTTAGGGTCGAAAACGTACGCCGCGGCAATGAACAAGCCTGAGGTCGTCTTGGCTCGTCGCGGGGAGGTATAGAGCTTCGTTTGGCCGGCCTCGCCCGAGTCCGCAATGGCGGAGAGCGCGCTGGCGCTGAGTAGGTCGACAAGGATGTATAAAACGGCGGTAAAGACGGGCCACTGCTTGACATCGGGGAGCAGTGAGAAGAGGGGAAGCAGCAGGGGCGGCTGGTGGAAGACGCCGCCATCATAGGGATCGACGTTGTGGTTATATAGAAACAGGCCTTCTTGCACTACATCGAGGCCGGCAGGTTAGCTTGTGAGAGACGAATGGCTGTCGGCGGCGCGCATCGCATGCGCGCATTCGATCGAGTCGCGCGGGAGGGCGGGAGAGGAGGGACGCACATCGTTTAAAGCTGGTGACGGGGGTCGAGATCTCGACGCGGCCGGTCAAGCGGTCCGGAAGGCGGGGGAATGCGGTAAAGAGCACAAGTCGCAACAAAGCAGCGCCGACGAAGACGCCGGCCTTGTTCCGTAGAGCCATGGTTGCAGTCATGGCATGATCCCCGGCGACGTTGGGGGCGTTGGGGCGGCGTGGGAGCAACTCGAGGCTTGGAGAGCTTGCTCCATCAAGGCCACTTGGCCCCAGAGTTGTCGCAGCAGACGAGCGGGTCGCGTTAGTCGGCAAGCTGCCTGGTGAAATGTAGAAGGGCAACTAAGCTGACCGCATGAAGCTCAGGAATTATTAGATAATGGACAATATCTTATTTATCGCAATAATTCACAACATATATAAGAAACAAAACAGTATTTGCAGGCTCCTCATTATATTGCCGATTTGTCACCTGTAGGTACCTATCCCCAATCACAGGTGGTGGGGCATGCATCTCATCAGCATAGCAAAATAGTCATAGCTACGATTGGCGTGCTTAAGCAAAGAATTAAACTCTGACATAAATATGAATAATACCCTAGAGGCTTTAACTTAGGTGTGTTTTTTTTAATGATTTTATCCAGCCAGCTTTATATACTGCAATCCTGCGTTGACGCAATCCTGCTGCTTCTCGCTTCCCGTTGTTGATAATCAATGGCGCTAGTCCTATCTAGGATCCAACCCAGGGCGGTGTCCTCTGGCACGAAATTTTCTGGCGAAAAAAGTTGAACTTTGGAAGCGGCTGGTCAGCGCAAACAGCGCCCCGCCAGTTGTAAAAAGAAAAAGGCTGTTCAAGACCAGTCTTTACAACCACCGTCAACCATCACCACTTACAATGGCTCGCATTAGAAGAAGGGGCGATACTGGAGCCTCCAGAAACTTCGTCACCCGAAACCAGGCTATCCGAAAGCTCCAAATCAGCCTGCCCGACTTTCGAAAGCTCTGCATCTGGAAGGGCATCTACCCGCGAGAGCCTCGCAGCAAGAAGAAGGTCTCCAAGTCGTCGACCGCCTCGACCACCTTTTACTACCACAAGGATATTCAGTATCTCTTGCACGAGCCTCTCCTGCAAAAGTTTCGAGACACAAAGGCCCTCGAAAAGAAGATTTCCAAGGCCCTCGGCCGCGGTGATGTCAAGGATGCTGCTCGTCTCGACAGCAATGCAGCCCGCCCCGAGAAGACTGGGAAGCCCAACTACACTCTCGACCATGTCGTCCGCGAACGCTACCCTACCTTTGTCGATGCCCTGAGAGACTTGGATGACTGCTTGTCTATGCTCTTCCTCTTCGCCAACCTGCCCTCGACCTCTACCGTCCCAGCCAAGATGATCGCCCGATGCGAAAGACTTTGCCTAGAGTTCCAGCACTACCTCATTATCTCGCGCAGTCTCACCAAGTCCTTCCTTTCCATCAAGGGAATCTACTATCAGGCTAATATTCAGGGTGAGGAGGTTCTGTGGCTTGTTCCTTACAAGTTCACTCAGCGTGTCGTTGGCGATATTGATTTCCGCATCATGGGTACCTTTATTGAGTTTTACATGACCCTGCTCGGCTTCATCAACTTCAGACTGTACACCTCAATTGGCCTCAAGTACCCTCCCAAGTTTGACCTGGTCAAGGACGAGAACGCTGCTGAGCTTGGCGCCTTCACCCTCGAGGGAAGGACTCTTGTCGGCGGTGAAGAGCAGAAGCAGCTGGAGGAGATCACCCACCGCCCCGATCCCAAGATTCAGGCTGCTGTCAACAAAGTTGTCAAGACCTTGACCTCCGGCGAGGCCAATGGCAACGAAACCGACGTTGCTGCTGAAGAGGAAGAAGAAGATCAATCTGGTGCTCTTGACAAGTTTGAACCTGCTGCGCCAGGTGGCGATATCCTGCTTCAGCCTTCCGCTGTCGGCAGCGGTCAAGGTGCTCTATTCTCCAAGTTCACCTTCTATCTCTCCCGTGAGACTCCACGTCAACCTCTTGAATTCATCCTCAAGGCTTTCGGCTGCAAGCGCGTTGGCTGGGATGCCACACTCGGCGACGGTGCTTTCACTACCAACGAGCTAGACCCCTCCATCACACATCAAATTGTCGATCGACCTGTCGTGCAGGCTGTCACCACCGAAGAGGGTGACGGTGAGGACAACCAGACTTCTCAAAAATTGACACAAAACCAGCGTGTTCCTGGTCGCATATACGTCCAGCCCCAGTGGGTCTGGGACAGCTTCAACGATGGCGAGCTGAAGGAGGCACACCTGTATGCTCCGGGCGCTTCTCTGCCTCCTCACTTGAGTCCGTTTGTCAAGAACGTACAGGGCGCATACGACCCCACGATTCCTCTCGAGGAGCAACAGCCCGAGAATGAGGCCCTTGATGCCGATAGCGATGCCGAGGTTGAAGACGCCGATGCTGATGAGACTGCTGAAGGCATGGATATCGCCGGCGAGGACAATGATGAGGATGACGAGGACGACGATGCAGAGGACAACGAAGACGTAGATGCGGATGAGGATGAAGACGAGGAGGAGGGAGACGAGGCCGCACAGCGTCAGCAGGAGCTGGAAGCCGAGATGACAGGCACCTCCCTCAACTCCAAGAAGGTCAATGCCAAAACTAAAGCCAAAGCGGAAGCGCGCAAAGCCTTGACCAAGAAGTCGCGTGAAGAGGCCGAGGATCTTGAGCGTGCCAAGGGCATGCTCAGCAAGAAGAAGCGCAAGCTATTTGAACAGATGCAGTATACGAATAACAAGAAGAGCGCCGTCGACGAGAAGCTGCGCGGAAAGAGAAGAAGACTGGAAAAAGAACAAGAAAAAGCGAAGAAGGCATCGGCGTAATTTGGTCTGCATTTTGTTGTGTTATAAGCAAAACTCTTAGATTTACTGTTCTGACGGATGCAAAAAATTTATGGTTCATTCGAGGAGTAATTGTAGCTACAACAGTGTATATGTGTACGAATTACCTAAAATACATTCACCATGGGCTGGTTCTACGTAGATATAGGGTCAGTCGTTGGCGTCCAAGACCAAGTTCCTCACCGTGGGTCTGGCAAACAAACCTTGCTGCACTTTCACTTTGCAACACCAAATATTCGCAGCCGATAGCCACGCCTGAACCTCAGCGACCTTCTCTAAATGAAAGACGCAATAATAATCATTACAACACATGCAGCACCATATATACATGTGTAATTCGCCAAGATTCGGCGCCTGAAACCCCCACCGCGCCACCATGTCGCAACCAGAGGTCGCCTGGGATTTGGACAGCGACGAGATCGCCTCCATCGCATCTGAGGAGCTCCACGAAAACAGACCAAACCGCTGGAAAGGGTCAAAATCAACATGGCGCGACATTACTGAGGAAGAGCGCCTACTATGGCGCTTCATGAAACAACTACAGGACGAGGATCTGGGCGTGCATCTTTACAATGCGTTTGCGCTGAAGAAACGCGCAGCAGACCCGGAGACTGCCAAGGAATTCCTCGTGCAAACGGTCTGTTATCGCGCGGCCCTTTTTTGTACCAATACATACTAACTGCCATCCATGCAGGAAGATGGACAAGAGACCATCTGGACGCCACCCAAGTGGTGGACGGCCTGGCCCTTGCGTCAGAAGCATCTACCGCCCGTCGGCCTGTTTAACAATGACGGCGACGGCCAGGACGAGTTTGTCTTTCGTCGCAACGAGGACGTGGCGCCCAGCTCTGAACTCAGATCCGAAGTAACAGCCACCATTTTACGCATCGCAAAGGAGCGCTTTTCTCGCCGCAACCCCCCCCAACCAATCGTGCCATCCATCGAAACCCCGGCCTCGCCTCGTCTCGGCGAAGACAGCGACGGATCCTCTTCTACGGAATCAGAGTTAGAGTCACAGCCCAGTGTACAGCAGGCTATTGATGTGTCGATAGCTGAAGATGAGCCGCACCCGCAGCGCAAGAATAAGGCCGACAAAACATACGACGGAGTCGTCTCCGCAGACGACCAGCTATCAGCAACACTCCTCAAGCCCTCCGTACAGCACATCCTAACTCTAGTCGACAAGACCCTCACCGCCCTACACAATATGCGCGCGGCTGGTCTTACCTACTTGTCCGATTCGTCCGTAGCGGAGACGCCGGATGGATCCGACACCGAGCGCGATACGAAGCCGCGCAAACGTGGCCGCGGCCGTCCGCGCCTCCCTCCGCGCCGCAACGCCGCGGCCGCACCCAGCGGCTCCAAGCGACGTCGCGGGCGGCCCAAGAAGGTGCCCACCGACTCCAAGCGACGTCGCGGGCGGCCCAAGAAGGTGCACGTGCCTGAGCCGGGCGAGACGCTGGAGGAAATGGAGCTTCGCGTCGCACGGCTCAACCACCGACGCCTGCCCACGACCGAGGTGGATCGCGAGGCGGCTTTTGAGGACTGGCTGCGGGGCGACAAACAATTCGCCCGCGAGCAGCGCCAGCCCTCGAGTCGGCGCTTGTCCGAGCAGCGCCAGCCCTCGAGCCGGCGCTTGTCCGAGGAGCTCCGCGACAGCGCCGACCGGACGGCCGGTGAGGGTGACGACGATGGCGAAAAGAAAACCAACGCGGAGAGGAGGATTCGCCGCTGGGGGCTCCGCGACTGGAGCGAAGTCGTTGCCGCCGCCACTCTCGCCGGCTTCCCGCCGCGCGTCATCCAACGCACGGCGCAGCGCTGTGCGAACCTCTTTGAGCAGGGCATGACCTTTACGCACCTCGACGAGGTACCCGCCGCGCGTGCCGCCGCCAGCATCTGCACCACCACGTACCGGCCTGAACCCATCCGCCTGTCCGCGTCCCCCAGCGGCGACTCCGATTCCGACAACGACTCCGACAACGACCGGAAACGCGCCGCCAACCTGAAGCAGCACCGCCTCCGCCAGCGCTCCAGGGAAGGCACGCTGCCGAGTGAGGAGGACGACTCGTCGCGTTCGCGCTCGCGGTCACGCTCACGGTCCGGGGGGGTCCTCTTCTTTTGCCCGCAGGCGTGGTGCAACCGCGCCGCCAGCGGTTTCTCGCGACGGGATAACCTGCGGCGGCACATGCGGCTCAAGCACCCCGAGTGCGACAAGGACCCCGCCACCACCGCGCCGCAGGCCGCCGGGGACAGCGAGGACGAGACGCTCGGCGCCGTCCACGTTGACGGCTTCCTGCGTACCATCAACCCCGGCAGGGGGTGGCGGGGCGACAGCGCTGTTCGCGGCAGGAAGCGGGGGGTGTCACCGGGGCCTGGGACGCCGCCGCCGGCTGGCCGTCGCCCGGGGAAGAAGGAAAAGGCTCCTTTGAACGAGTGCGAATAGATGTTCTGTTGGACATGGACGTGGTGTTAACAGTTCAGGTAGATGTTCATACAAGACAGTCAACTATGAGAAAATATATACGAGTTGTTCTATGGCAATACCTCATCTGTGAAAAACGTATACCCGATGCTAGTACGCCACGCATGCAGATTAAAAACAAGCACACCAGAAAGGGCATCTCAGAACAATGCATTTCAAGAAACCCCAAGTTTGAAGTGTGTGCGTGTGTATGTCAGAGAAGAAAAGGGGGGGTATCTAGAAGAAAGTGTGGCAACTCTGCGTGTGTGTTTTCGCTGGACCATCTATCATCCCATTAACCAAAACAGTTGAAAACAACCAAAACGAGTGTCAAACAAAAGTAAATCGACGAATATACCACAACCCCCGTAATAGTTTTGGTTTTATGCAGACCACCAACGTTCTTGGCTCTACAAGCGTCCCAGAACAAAAAAAGATTGGACGCCTTTCCGTAAAACTCCTCCACCGTGCCGATGCGAGAATGGTAAAAATGCTGCCAGCTTTTTAAGTGACCGAGTGATTGGGTGTGAGATTTGAGAGATTTGAGAGGTGTGGTTGGTTAGGGAATTTGCCTTGTTGGACGAAAGGCGTTGCCAGATGAGGAGGATGTTGGTTCATCTAGTCATTATAGTAATTGAGAAATTTATTTTATTTGAGCCGCGGGCTCTTTCTCTTGGAACCGGCCGCGGCCAGTGCCGATGGCGGAAAGTTTTCGCGTCCCTGGGCCGCAACGCCGGGTCTCTTGACGCCCGCCACGCTGCGCACCGTTCTAGTGCCGCGCTTCAGTAAAGGCATCGTCACATTTTCAACAGGCATAGACATGGTGCTTGCCCGGGGCTCGAATCCCAGGTTCGCCGGCGCCGTCAGGTTCGACGCCAGGTTCGGGTTGACTTCGCGCAGGCTGGCGCCGAGCTGGGTATTGTCAGCAACGCAGCCATCGAGGGAGCTGGGGGCCGTGGCCGCCGCTGCTGCCGACGTGGCAGAGGACAGGCGCGGCGAGGAGGAGCTTGCCTTGGTAGAGGAGGGCGCCGGCTGCTGCGGCTGCGGTGACAGATCGGCAAAGACAATGGTCTGATCCGGGTCCGTAGAGCGATCTACCACCATCAGCGGCGACGGTGGCACGCTCTCGTCCTCCTCATCAATCATGCCCTCGGCAAGATGATTGGTTCGTGGCAGCACAGTCGGGTATTGGTAGACAGCCTTTTGCGGCGTGTCACCCGTTGGCTGGTACTCGTGGAGACTGGTGCTGGAGATGCCCTCCCGCAGGTTCGTCAATGGCTGGCAGAGATGCGATTCTAGCGGATCCAGGGCTTCAAGCATATCACTGGTGTCGAGTTCCATTGCCTCACCGACATTCTTGAACCTGTCAAACGTGGACTTGAAGTGCGCCGAGATATTGCCAAACGACTGCTCGATGGTGTTGGACAGTGCCTGGACCGACTGGCCGTGGTTCTCGTGGTGTGTCGTATTTTCTGTGCGGGCGTGCGTGACAAAGTCGTCGAGGGCAAGCATCTTGGAGCCCAGGTCCTCTACCTGCTCATCGACAACACGTACCGTCTCGGCGTGTACCGACTTGGCAGTGTTCTGAATCGCAGTGCTTTGATCGCTAGCCGTGTTCCAGTCATCCTTGAGCTTCGTCTTGAGTTGCTCGCGAGACTTCTTGACTTCTTCCAGGAGATCGCCTTCTTTCTCATCCCATGATTCCATGCCTTCGTTGTATTGATGGACGGCACGTTCTAGAGTGGTGCTAGATTCGGTGACTGATTTCTGGATCTGTGAGGCCTTGTCGGCGAATCGTGATTCCTGCGTCTCGGCTTGTGTGTTGATCAAAGTAGTGATCTGAGAAAGCAGCCTCTGGCGATCCTCTGCAGCTTGCCGTCGCTCTTCAGCGATGACTTCTTGGATACGCAGAGAGGTGCCAGAGCTCTGCAGAACAGCCGCATTCGTTGCGTTTTGTAGCTGGCGTCGAAGATTATCAGACTCGCTGCGCTGGGCCGTGATATGTTTGACAAGATCTTCAAAGATGCACTTGAAGTCCTTGCCTAGGGCGGCATATGAGTTGTGCAGATGTGTGTGCAGATTGCCCATCTCGGCAACGACATCTGCTGCAATCTTCTCCGCGGCGCCAGAGATGACCTGTAAACTTTCACCCACGCGCCCCTTCACGCCGTCGCGAATGACATTAATCTCCTCGAGCACCTCATCCATCTCATCCTTAGCCTTTTGTTTTTGTTCCAGTAGAAGCTTCTTGGAATCAGCAAACGCATTAAGTTGTTCGTCTAGCAACGTTTGTGTAGCTGACAGCTTCTGAAGTTCCTCTTCCACAAAGGCACTCATGCGTGTTGAGATGCTTGAGATGTGCTGGCGCTGTTCATCTTGGAAGTCGGCAACGCGACGTTCAACCATAGAAGTGACATCGGACACTTGAATCTGGGAAGTGCTCCAGGCAGCCCGGTTGATGGACTGCAGATCTGATTTTCGCTTGTTCTTCGCATGCAGTCCACCAACGTCATTGACTGTTCGTTGGAGCTTGTGGATAAGTTCGTCGCCAATCTTGGTCAGCTTTTCCTCGGTAGCCTCATGTGCCTTGCGCAGCTCCGTCTCTTCGGCAAGTGACTTGTGCGTCGTTTCAAGTACTCTCTCTACCCCATGCAGCAGATCTTTTGTGCTATCAAGCTGCGACCGAGTGCCGTCGTGATCCTTCTTCAGTCCCATAAACGAAGCGTTCAGTGAGTGCAGCTCATGTGTTTTATTGCGTAGGTTCGTCTCGAGTGTTTCAATCTTGGCGCCTTGCTCCTCGGCAACAATTCTCCGCGACTCGCTTTGTGCCGTCATCTCTTCATACACGTCGGGTGGCAGATGAACGCCGTTGCGTTGTCTGGTGCTAATTAGTTCGCTCTTGAGCCTTTCGATCTCAACAGTGAATTCCTTGAGGAGCGTCTTTTTGGGTATGGCATTGAGCTGCGGTTTGTTTCGGATGTTCTTTGCGCGGAATGCATATTCGAGTGTCGATATCGTTTCTTCCAGGTTGGTCTTTGAGGGCGAAATTGTCGCAATAATGCAAGTCTTTGTTCGGCCACCAAGAGAGTCTTGGAGGAGGCGCGTGAGTTTTGACTCTCGGTACGGAATGTGTGCGCTGCGGTCGACGAGAGCGTTGATGACGCGACCAAGGGTCAGCAGCGATTTGTTGATGAGGCCAGCCTCAGTCGCGCGCTTGTTCTCAGCACCTGAGCGCTGAATATTCTCGCTGCCAGCAAGATCAACGAGATTGAGCTTGCCAGCGCTGATGAGATCTTCGGTGCCGTTCTCGTTGACCTTTTTTACGTATGCACTAATCGTGAAGACAGTGTGACTTCGCGAACTGAGGTCATTGCATTTGGTGGCAGCGACCTGGCGCTTCAAGCTGCCATCCTGCAGCACCTTGATTCCCTCGCTCGAGTCCTTGATATGTTTTTCCTCCATGCCCTGCACCATGGTGCTGGCGTGGCCTTTTCGTGACGCGTCGTCATAGATTCGTAGTTTGGCCGTCTCCTCGACCGAGAGCAAATCGCGCAGCTCTTCGTTGTACAGCTCGATGAATGACACTTTGACGCAGTGCTCAGTGTCGTCCAGCTCAAGCGTTCGAAACAGCTGCTGCAGCACACGCGGAATGATGCCAGCTTCGTCGGACAACATGCCTAGCGTCTCTGTCATGTCGCCCGACATGGTGTACGTTTTCCCTGTACCCGTCTGTCCGTACGCAAAGATTGTACAGTTGTAGCCGGATAGCATCTCGTCGAGAATAGGTCGGACAGTGTCGTCAAAGATCATTGGCTGGTCTGCCGCGGACGAAAAGACGCGGTCGAAGGAATACGTCTTGTTGTTCAAGGCATTGGGACCCAGGGAGAGGTCGACGTGGTTCCCCTTGACGCCATCCGCCTTGACGACGACGGCGCTGTTCTCTTTGACCTCGCGCGGGCTGCGACCGCGGCAGCGGACCACGACGTTAATGTTGGTCTCCTCGCCGCCAAAGGTGCTCATGCGGGAGCCCGTGTCCAGTTCGTAGTCGCGCTCCTTGCGCTTCGCGCCGGCGGTCATGTTGGAGATGAGAGAGTCGGCAGGCGATGCCGCGCCGGCGCGCATGCCGTGACGCGCCGTCGATGTTCTCGTCGGCGGGCGGACGGCGCTGGCGCGGCTCGAGACGCCGGATCGCATGCTCGAGCTCATGGCTGACCGGCTTAGCTCCCGATCGGAGCGTTGTCGTAAATGAGCCAGCGTGGAGGATTTATACGCGTCTGGCCCCGGAGTGTGGCGCGTCCGGGACGCCGAGGCAGATGGTGACGGGATGGTAAGCGGCGGCGGCGGGTAGTGGCCAAGAGCTATGTTGTTGTTGTCTTGTTAAGGTTTTTGGTGGCAGCAGTGTTCCGGGATAATATGCTCAAGATGGTGGCGTTGGATAGAGCATTCATATTACCCCCCCGGCATGCAGAGAGCAATATTAAGGTGTAGGTTGATCGGTATGTGCCTTGTGCACTGGCGGGGAGGGGCTTGGTGCAGTCGGCAGCCGGTCATGGGTGTTGTGCTCGTGAGATGATTTGCCAGGTTTCTGCACCGAGTACAACCAGCCAATCACAGCATCGAGCCACTCGGTGGGCGTCAACAAGGACTAGCTGCGTTTCCCCAGCAACCGTTCTGAGCTAGATGCTCCTCATCCAGGGAAAAGAAATCTTCATCGCTTTTACTGTTGATAGGTATCTAGTAGATATATTATGAGATGGCGTGGCACTTTTTATCGCGTTTCAAGGACAATCTGCGCCATTGAGCGCGGGTTTTGTTCGCTTCACCAGAACGCGACGCGCGCCCCAGGTGACAGCGACGCTACCCTACATCAGTGATTTGCTTTTCCATGTCAAATTAGCACCCACTCAAAGGCGCAAGAAGTCGGGGTGCACTTCTATTTATTAATACTGTGCAGTGCCACGAGCCTGACCTACCTCGTCGGTTCCGAGTTAAGGGCTGTGTGCTGACCCTAGTCCGCCGTGTCTGACCAGCAAAATTCAACAACACGGTAAAGTGGACAGTGAGTCGAGATATACATGTATTCATATTAACCATCTTGCCAGTTAACTGCAACCAAAGAAATCAAAGAAAATTCTCCAATACTATAATGCAACGCAATGCAAATGCAGCCTATTTGTTCGAGCGCACCAACTTGAGCGATCAAGTTCGCTTATGCGATATTGTATGTAAAATTTACTTTTCAGCCACCTGTGTCGCAATGGTAGCTGTATTCCCAGTCTCCTCATCACTGCTCTGCTTCTTTCCCCTCTCCTCGGCCTTGAGTGTCTGCAGGCCGGTCTTGTGCTCGGTATGATGCTTCGACAGTGTTTTTTGCTTGATGAAGAGGCTGGCGAGGAGTCCGAGGAAGCAGCTGCAGGTAAAGACAGCGAACATGATTTGAATCGAGTTCCAGTAGACCGTTCTGACTATTTGTCGATCATCCACAGGAAGTGTCTTGATACGGTCAACGTTGGATGCCGCATCAGTGCCAGAAAACAAGCGGGCAGTGTCAGAGCCAAGCTCGGACGTCAGGTGGCCCTGCTGGCCCTGCATCCTGTTGGCAATGACAACACCGCCTACGGCGACAGATGTAGCCGTGCAGAGCTGGCGCACAAACTGCAGACTAGACGTCGCGGCGCCGATATCCTGAGGCGCAACATTGGCCTGCAGAGCGATAAGGGGAGCTTGGAAGTTGGGGCCGATACCCAAACCAGCGACCATCTGGAAGAGAACGATGCGTGCCCAGTGAGGGCGATCACCGAGATAAGTGAAGAGGCCAAAGCCAAGAGTTGAGCAGGCCATGCCACAGTTGATGACAATCTTGTACTTTCCAGTCTTGTTGATGAAGAAGCCGATAAAGGCAGACATGAGCGACATGACGGAGACAAAGGGCAACAAATAGACGCCCGACAAGAGGGAATTGGCGCCGAGGACTGACTGGAAATACAGAGGCAGGTAGTAGCTTCCAGAGATGAAGGTGAAGGCGTGCAACGACGAGGTAACATATGTGGCAATGCTCGTTGTCGTGTTGAATAGTCGAACAGGGATGACGGGGAACTTGGCGATACGGGACTCGTAGTAGAGGAAGATGGCAATGGCGACGACGCCAAAGACAATGAGGCAGATGACGGTGGCCGAGTCCCACGGATACTGGCTGCCGCCGAATTCCAGGCCCATGAGCAGCATAATGGTGCCGCCAATAATCAGCACGTTGCCGATCCAGTCAATGGCAGCCAGGCCGGCCTTGACGGGAGTGCGTGGGTTGTGCAGCTTGAGGAAGAAGAGCAGGATGAAGAAGGCGAGGCCGCCGCAGGGCAGGTTGATCCAGAAGCACCAGCGCCACGAGACCCGCTGGGTAAAGGCGCCGCCGATGATGGGCCCAATGGCCGAGGCGATGGCCCAGATCATGCCGAGGAAGCCAAAGTAGACGCCGCGCTTGCGGGCGGAGAAGAGGTCGGCGACGCAGATGTTGGGGAGGACAATGGTGCCGCCGCCACCGATGCCCTGGATGGCGCGGGCGACGATGAGCATGCCCATGCTGTTGCTGAGGGCGCAGAGCAGGGAGCCGATCCAGAAGACGACGACGGCCGTCATGAGGATGGGCTTGCGGCCGAAAATGTCCGACAGCTTGCCCCAGGTGGGCACGAGGGCGGCGCTGCCGAGCATGTAGGCGCTGCCGATCCAGACGTAGCCCGACGTGGACTGGAAGTGGGCGGAGATGGTCGGGACGGCCGTCGTGACAATGGTCATGTCGAGGGCCGCGAGGAAGAGGGCGATGCAGAGGGCGAACATGACGAGCGTCGTCTCGAGCTTGGTGCGCTCAGCCTCGGGGGCCACTGCGGCGGCGGGTGCGGCTTTGTCGTCGCCAGCATCGCGAGGCGTCGATGGCGCCGAGGATGAAGCATCGGCGGCGGCGGGGGGGAACTTTTCAGCGGGATGCGTATTATACTGCTGCTTGGTTGGTGATGAGAGCGTGGTGGGTGAGTCGAGTGGCGTCCTGTAGCCCTTGGTCCGGTCGGTATTGATCGTGGTACCGTCTACGCTAAAACGGTGCTCAGAGTTGGCTGCCATGACGGTAGCGGGGGTGTTGGCCGAGGCGATTCACAAAGAATGGTCGTTTTGATGTATCCGTACCGAGTAATCTGTACCGTCTTTTGTATTCGTCGAGTCCTGTCTCAGCCTGCAGTGTTGGGTGTTGTAATTTGTAGAGGCTGTCAACCTGCAAAGCGTGCATCCGTCACACAGGATCGGATAAGGGACGGGACGGATGCTGAACAATGTCCCTCGCGCAGTTTTCAGGAGAAGGGATATAACCGCCAGAACATATATGAATGGAGCAGGGAAGAAGGAAAAAACGACAAGAGTCAGTGACTAGCATGACAAACGAAGCGCTCTACGGAGTACTACTAAAAAGTAATGGCGTAACTTATTGAACTGTGGATGCGTCGTTGGGGTGGGGGGCGGATTAATGACCGTTTCACTTGGCAGGACGCCCACCATCCATCTCCTGGGCTGCAACGGCGTGGGATGTCCGACGACGGAAAAGAGCACCGTTTCTTGATGCTCTTTGGGAGTGGCACGGAGATACAGCTGCAGGCAATAGCAACTGCAGTATAGACGCCATCAATAGCATGCTGCATCTATGATTTCCTCCTGCAAGCCAAAAAACAAAAGGCCGACGCAAAATGTGCAATTGCCGTTTGCCTTTGCCATTGTTACGGCCGTTGTGGGTCGCCTCATCAACTACCAGAACAGGCAGTGGGCCTGGAGCTCAGCAACTTGCAACGAGTCGAAGAATTAATGAAGAAATTATGTACAAATTACTTGGTACGTAACTGAGACATGAAGCACGCCCATTGCCCCTCTCCCGGCGTCACATATCGAGTCGGACATCCAAGTCCCCAAGCATGCGGGGTGACCTAGTCATGGAACAAGCTCATCCTTCATGGAACACGCCACGCCGACGACGGCCGGCATCAGTACCCACGCCTCCCGTCGGATTTAAGAGCCGGGGCAAGCCTCTCTCCCCGGCTGCAATGTGGCGGCCCTCGCGCCGCCTCTAACTACCGTCGCTACCATGAAATCGCATCACAGTCGACGACAGCGCTGCATAATAAATATCGTCAAGTATAAAATCTGGCAGATGAAGAATGTGGCAGACGAAATCACCAAGATCGACTGATGCACATCGGATCATAGCTTTCGGCTTATTACATGGCTGCACCGTTAGCCCCACATGCATCAGGCACTTTTGCAAGGCTTGGTTTTGCTTCGAGTTAAGCTTGAAAATCTCAATACATGGTAAGTTAGGTATATCAAGTTGAATGCATGCATGGCTTACAAACTCAAGAAATCAATAATACCATCAACGCTGCGCCAGTAAAAACAAAACACCTCAATCCAAACAGCACCAATCAATGTACAACATGCCTCACCTCGGACTCGGACGACCCCGTCATCTCAGTGCATCAGAAAATTGTCACCGTATTAATGTATCCGTTCTTCAGCACTTCAAACACCAGCCCCGGGAACCCGTACAGCGTCGTTGTCGAGTCACTGTTTGTCTCGGCGCGCCGCGCGCCGCTCTCCTCCCACCCGCCCAGAAACTCGCAGCTGCTGCCCGGACTGTTGCCCCAGCCCCGATTAAGGACCATACCCCGCTGTCGCGTCTGAGACTTGCCGCCCGGGAGCTCGCTCTCCCACGTCTGGTTCATCAACGCCTCGACGTGCTCGAATTCCATCTCCGACGTCACCGCCTCGTCCTCCCGCCCGGGGTACGCAATCTCCCACCGGCAGCGCCGGTGCCGGTTGAACTCGTATGACCCGGGGATGTTTCCGTGGAGCACAATCTTGTTCACCACTAGCCGATCGGGGTGGTGCATCTTGACCACCATCGGATCGAGAGTCCCATTTTGCTGCCCGGGTGGGGCCTTGGATGGCTCCGTCGGCTTTGAGAGCAGCACATCAAAGCCCATGTAAAAGTAGTTATAGAAGCATTCGCCTGATGGATTCCCCGAGCTGTCCTCTTCGGTAACGACCTCGTTGTCGGAATCGTCCGAGCCCGTGTTCATCGACGATTGATCCGTATCTGTCATGGCCTCGTCTGCGCGACCTACATTCGCACTATCGCTCCGGCCCCTTGACGCATCTGCTGCTCGTCCTTGATGAACGTCCATTTTCTCGTCATTCTTGCGATAAATGGCATTTGGAGGCCCCAACTCCATGACCAGCTCCTGAGGAGTAGTCTGGCCCAGCTGGATGCAGAAGCCGCTACTAGTCCACTTGCGAAACATTTGTAGTTTGCCTCCTCCGTAGATTTGAACCAACGACACTTCGTCAGGGTACACATCTTTGCTCCTTGGAAATACCGTCGACGATTTGATGCTGGGTAGTACTTTCGTCCATAGCGTGGGCCTCGCATCGGCCCAGGAATTTCCACTGAACACGGCCATGGACGTGGCGACTTGGCTTGACGCAGCCGACAAGAGCGAAACGACGTCCTTGTCAGGTGAGTAAGCTGAAGCTGCCATTGGGAAGTTGAATGCCACTCCAGGATACGACAGCACATAGATGCCCATGCCCTGTCCGCTGCTTGACGACGCAGGAATGAACTCGCCCGCATACGTTGGGCCTAGAAGTCGCTGGTATATGTGTCGAAATGTCGGGCCTGACGAAGACTCGCCGGGAATAGGCGAGCCTGGATCCGAGGCGCTGTTGGGCAGTCGCACCAGATCACGATCTTTGAAGGTGATGTGGTTCTTTGTAAAGTCGGTAATTTCGATGAGTCGCAGCCGCTGCTCAGGGCCATCGAAACGCAGTCGCATGCCATTTTGCGGGAGCACGATGCATACTGGGTCCTTGACGGGCCTTTCCGTCGAGTGGACAACATCGATCTTGGGGAACCGCTGCGGCTCGGCTTTGAGCCTCGTCAGGACATCGTGGAGGGAGGCTCCGAGGACTAGCGTACGTCAGCCACTGGGATGCAAACATGGAAACCAGTTTACCAACCGAGAAAGCCGAGCGCTCGACCGGGATGAAGCTGCGCGCTGAAAAGCGACATGCTGGTGGGCATTGTCTTGCCGCGCCAGCGGCCGTTTGGTGGGGGTACGTCTGGGAAGGCAGCTTATCCAAGCTTCAGTCGCGGGGGAACGCGGCGCATCAACGCGTCTATTCGGTTGGTACTTGGGGAGCAAACGGAGTTGATGATGCGAAAGCAGGAGTGACGCCGTGTTTGTGACATGTGAAGGAAGATGACTGCGCGGGGCCAAGGTGACCACTAGATTGGGTGTCATGAGCTGAAGGGACGACCAGGCGACGCTATCTCCCCACTGTAAGAGCCGCATGACTGGACACGGACAAGGGTGGGCAAGGTGTCCAGTCGGCGAGGCCTCTGAATGGCTCGGTCGGCACTTTAGTGGGGCGGCCTGAGCCGGACTGCACTAGAGGGAAACTCCGTCAACAACCTCCATCCCAACCAGCCCTTTCGCCAGGCACCAACCAAGCAAGTCAACCAACGAAAATAAGGCCGCTTCTTTGCATAGTTACCCAACGGGCCAACGGTCGGCACGTTGACTATACCCACATTTCGAATCGGCACACCATCCCTCGCCGTGGCATGCTACGAGTACCATACCTAGCCCCTCTAGCTAAAGTCCGCCTCGCACAATTGCGGCGAGACACCAGCCCTAACTAGTATCTTGACCTGATCTTGGCGGCCGCGGGAGTATTCCGTAATCATCTTTTGAGCACGAGCAGAGCCCACGAGGCCCTTGCATTTGGAGCAAGACAACTCCCGGCTAGCTCACAGTCATCGGTGTCGGCCATGATATGCTCAACATCCGCTCGTAAATACGATTTCCTCATCTAAAGTTTGGTTCGACCATGCTCTGACCGCAAATCGAAAAGGCCTTCAGTCATCGCGCATGCTCAGTGTATCGGTGCATTGTTCAGTGGAATGTGGTCGTCGGGCGATGCTGGCCCAGTCTCAAACTTGACAAGTGCCTAGTCTCAAGATCAACAGATGGTACAGACGCCACAAAAAGCCGGATTCCGAAAAGCAGAGCCTCATTATACTTATCGATATAGTCGTTGTACTCCTACATGCCGCCTCAAATTCCGCCTCCGTTCCGGGAACAACAAACTACCTGCCGGCCGCTACCCACCCACTCAGCGCAGGTGTTTCTCTGCATCTACCAAGACACTGCTTTCTGGCACGCTCTTTGATTAGCTGACACGCCGCCTTGTCACGCCTTTGATTACTAGTTTATTGCGATCAGTCCAACACCAGTCTCCGCACAAACTGTGTAGGGCAGATGGCTCCGCTGTGCCGGGTTTGTTTATACCGGTCTCACGCTCCTAGGATGTCTCCCGTGTCCGTCTTATCATGCTATGTATAAAGAGATAATAGTTCACATGTTCCAATTTCTTTAAAAAAAAAAGGAGATTACGGCGTTCTGATTTTCATCTATAAGCCGAATGATCTGTGCTGTCTGCGACCTCTGCTTTTCAAGTTCACGATACCCAATTGTTTCTTGCACATCATGGCGAAACCTGGCCCTTCCAAAGAAAAGAACCCCTTTAAATCCAGCAGCGATAGTGAAGCGTCTGATTCTCAGAGCGAACACAGCCCAAGACCGAGCACCAACAAGTCTCCTTCCGTTGCCCCAGCTTCCAAGGAACAACCACAACAGGAGACGAAAGCCGAAAAAGAGAACAAGGACAAGCGGCACGTTGGGAAATACTGGAAATACTACGGTCTCGGCGTTGTTCTGGGGCTAGCTATCCTTCTGCCCCTCTTGTTGGTCAAACTCGTCAAGCGCAAGTAGCCCGTCCTCAACTGACGGATCCTTGCGCAGCTTCAAAGTTTTCATACCCCTCATCATTGCCCGGTTCATCAACTCGCGGAACATTCTCGTCCAACACGCTTCCGTATTCATCAGAAGCTCCAACGAAATCGACTTTGCCGCCAATGCCTCGATCGCGTCGCCAATGGCTGCCCGGGTCGGTGACCTCAAGTTCACCCTCCACGACACCGCCCAGGATCAGCCGCCCACCGTGCTCACCGCGGGCATCCAAGGGTTCGCGATCCAAAAAGCTACCCAAATCGACATTCGACGAGGCGTGTTGCACGTAAACGACTCGGACGCGCTCGTCAGCTGGGCCGATCGTTTCATCGACTGCGAGTCAATACCTTTTGACGTGCGTGTCAAGGGCCTCGACGTCTTCCTCGGGATTCTCCGCTATACCTTTAACCTCGCGCGGCCGATCACAATCAATGGCCTTCGCGGGCTCCGTGATATTACACTGAACGAGGTCAACCTTGTTCTGCCGCCGGTCGCGAACAAGAATGTCCAGGCAAACATCAGCTTTTCCAACCCCAGCTCTCTGAGCGTGAAGGTCGGCAACGTGACGGTTGACCTGATAGTCAACGATCTCAAGATCGGCGAAGCGTTGGCGTACAATGTCAGTCTGGTGCCTGGGGTCACCAATGTGTATATTGACGGTCTGGTGGATATACCAAAAATTGTCAACAACCTCGCCGGCATCATCCGTGGCCAGGCGCCAAACTTACAGGCTGGCTACGTCACGCTCAAGCTTCAAGTCACCAGCTTCACAATGTACGGCGAGAAGATAGACTTCTTAGGAGCGCTCCTTCGCAAAAGGGTGCTGAGTGCCAAAATCCCGCTGGTCGCCCTGATCAATGGGGCTGGAACAAGCATCCTCAAAAGTGGCTTGGTGGGAATCGGAATGGCTAATGGAGGAGCGGCCGTGGGCGGGATTACTTTACTTGATGCGATAGGGGATGTCTTTTCGAACCAGACTCTGCTCAATCGCATTCAAGGGCATTGGGCACGAAAGCAGTCCCGCGACCAGTACAAATATTCTCTGGCTTAATAATGATTCTTACTTAACAATATGCAGCCGAGAGGTTTGAGCTTCACGTAGTCACTTGCGTCGTCACGAGCAAAAGAGGCGCCGTTTGCCATTCACTTGAAGCAACTTCACGGCGGCAGTCATTCGCCTGCTGCACGATTCACCCAGCAGATAACTGGCTAGGGAACCAGTGCTGACGAGAAAGTGAGTATGACAATGGAATATTCCGGAATTCTCATTTCATTTGCTATCTCGATCGGGGCTGTTCGTTCCTCGCATCAACGAAGCGGCCGGGCCTAGACACAGTAACAGATATAATACAAAATTATAACGATTTTGTGAATCAAAGTCTCTCGTCACCAACTCAATCAATTTTGTTTTCTTTCAAAAATGGACAAAGACGCAGCCACAGTAGTTACTTCACTCCGATGTCTTTGCATGTGTGGCACCTCCAGCCCGTAACAGTGACCACGGAAGGGCCACAGCTACATTTGCGTGGGATCCCAGTACCCTCATCCCAGACTTGCTCGAAGAAGGAGTAAAAGAATTGCGGGCTCTCTGAGGCTACTATTGCAAGTGCTGATTTGACATTGCGAAGAGGACAAGTTCCCATGCGATATCTCACAATATGTGCAACAGTCGATTGCAATCTCCCGAGCGACTCTCCCTCCAGCTTATACATCAATGGGATCGCGTAGAGGAGATGTTTAGTGCTCTGCGAGTTTGCAAATTTTTCAAATTTGACCTCTGCGAGAGATTGAAGAGCTTGGATCATGTACTTGTCTGCAAATATGGACATTTCAGCATGAAAAAGAAGTGTGTGTAGTGGGTTGTCGGGTTTGTTCTCGGGGGCTTGGTAGTCGCCAGTGTAAAAGTAATCGACAGCTTTGATCACTTTTTCCGCCTCAAAATCTTTGATTTCATAGAATCCATCTTCCTTCTCCTACGTAATTATAGAGAGTCAGATGCCGAGGTCACTTGTTCACGGTAGTTGACCGTACCTTGAAGGATCCGGACAAGGCAGTGCATAGAACAGGGGACTGCATACCAACAACCAGCCTGTGAACTCTGATGACTGTGCCTCGGCAGCGAAGCTGGTAGTCAAAAAGTAGCTGCTTTTCGCGAGCACTTCTTTGAGGTTAGATTGATAGAAGCAGTCGCTGAGCTGGGTGACCGATACATACTTGGCAAGCAACTCACCGAAATTGGCGGGCAGGGACATCGCAATTGTTCTCTACAAATTATTGTTGTTAAAAAGGACACAAACCAGAAGCGAAGGGTAGAGAGGGGGGCTTGCTGTTTATGTACTGACTCCGTTTGAAGGTTCTTGCGTTTGCTGCTCTTCGCACTGTTACGTGGGGCCAAGGAGGGTGAAGAGAGAGATGGACCGATAGAGACAACTAAATCAAAATGAGAGAAATTGAGCATTTGAGGGTATTTTTCTGTGCACATGGCCCTGCATATGGATCCAGCTGGGCTGGCCCAGGCGGATCATCAAGCACTACGCGAAAAATGAGACTGACAGTCACAATTCATCATTCTTCGACGACCCGTTTATGAACCAAGTACAGGTCGTTTTGTACGATGCGTGCCACATGTCGTGCTCATCATACCTGCACAGAAGGCGACAACCGCCTTGTCTGACAATCGAAGCCAAAGACTAGCACCAGCCAAACAACCGCAGAATAGTCGACTTAAGATGATGGGTGTCTCTATAACTCCTATCGATTTGGGGGCAACTAACATCCTTAAGGATGATGTGGAACTTGGTGGCGTCTGACATTGAGTGTCACCCCGACGGCGGTTATAAACCGCCCTTTGTCGCAACCGCTCGCGTCTTGAGAGCCCTCTTGGTCACCAATAGTAATCGGCACATCCCGTGTACGGTACGAGACATGAGACACTCGGTTGCACTTGCCCGCAAACACACAAGACCTTTTCTTTTGCAGATGACATGGGATGCAATACCAGTTTGAAGCCATGTATGTGTGTTGGTTGTTCCTGTCGGCGGCCAACGGCTCCACATGGGGGTAAACCATGCTATTGTATGCTTGGCCGTCATGTCTAATGAATAACGTGGACAGTTGTAGAACCATGCTTACTTGCGCAAAGTTCTTGCGGAGAACACTCAAGCCCGCCTCTAAAACCACGTGGATAAACCATCGAAGGGGGGGTCGAGTACTTGTGATGCTTCGTGCAACCACGATGGTTCATTGTCACCATGAGCCTCAAAGCATAGCCGGACTTGTTGAACGTCAAGTTGAAGAAATTCCGCTGCATTGGGTCTTTGGCGCCCCAAAGTTGCATCTTTGTTCTATACCGAGGACGTTCAGCCAAAAGGCAACTTAAAAAGTCTCAGCCCCCTTCGCACTCTTGCGCCGTTCGCCGTTCGCACTCTTGCGCCGTTCGGTCATACCTCCCTCATCTTTTTGCTATATACTATACGCAATCTCTTGAAACGCCAAACCCTGATCATGAGGTTCTCGTGAGTACTTGCCTATAGCCTGGCCTTGGAAAAAAAACTGCTACACAAGTCAGTGTGGTCCCCCCCCCCCCCCTCTTGGCCATTCATGCCTTGTCGCGTGAGAGCTAACCATCCCATGCTTCTTTCAGGTTCGACATATTCGGGCTCCTCTTCTGCCGGCACTGCCGCGGAAAAGGCTGGACGATATCCCCGTGCGAACACTGCCAGGGATGCGGCTTCCTCCGCTGCGGGCGCTGCCGCGGCACCGGCCTATATCGCCGGCACGAACGGTGCGGCTCGTGCCCTCGCGCCGGCCTGTGCCAGCGGTGCCGCGGCCTCGGATTCCTGACCAGAGTCCGTCGCTGCGAGAGTTGCCTGTGCGGTAGGGTCGGCCCATGCACCGTGTGTGCTACCGGCGGCCACATCTTTGCCTTTTGCACTTGCAGGGCCGGACGCAAGAGACGGAAGGTTCGGACCATGTCGGACGCACAGCGATCCGGACAAGGCAGTGCCTAGAACAGGAGACTGTTGATAGCCAGGATTTCAGTTACAAGAGTACATTGTATGGTTACAGTATGAATGCTCCAAATACCAGTACACAAGGAAGTTGCCAAAAAAAAAAGGTACCCTAAGAACTTTCATTCTTCTTTTATCATAAGACTTGACCCTATCGCATCGCTAATGCTCACAATATTCTCAAAATCAGGTATAAAACCAGGCGCTATTAAAGAAGCAGGACCAATCGCAGACAGGGGAGGAAATAAAAAAGGAGGCAAACATTAAAACCCAAAAATGGCATCCCATCCTCTCATCCACTTCAAACTCTTACACCCCTCTCGCTGCTCTACTTGCCCAAAACGCGGGAAATACAATTGCCAAAAACCAGAATGCATGTTGGAGAGGAGAGGCCGTAACAAGAAAAAAAAGACAGCCAAACGTAAAAACAAAGATAACCCGCATACCACCGCCTCGGTTCACGTTCGATGTTGGGACTTGAAACACTTCTCAACCAACATACTGCAGCCTTTGTGAACCTCGGCGTAACATAGGAAATGACTTTAAAAAAATACCTAATAAGAAGTTTCCAAATAGAGTTGGAAATGTCCATTATTAAGCTTCCAACTTCATTGTTCTACCTCTGACTCCATATTTGTTCTTCGACACGTTCGCCCGTGGCTCATCGAAATGCCCGCTATTGTCGAGGGTGATATTGAGCCACGTATCATCGATATGTATCGTCTTGAAACAGGTATTGAATCGTATCGAGGCTATTTTAACAGTCGGGTCGGCCGCCTCGGGCCAGGTGGCCATGCGTCCAAATCCCGAGCTGCAAGTACTCAAATCGTGAGGGTGACGCGTGTGGCGCTTGCTCGCGACAGCGGCTAGCTTCGTCGGACACTCGAGTACGTGTCGCCTTTGTCGTACATCGTTGTTTTGCTCACTCGTCACCGCCCCTAGCCCTGCCGCGTCGTCGGAAAAAGTCCATTACACGCTTTGCCGCACCGCTGCTGCCCTCGTGTCCTTGGAATCCGTCTTGTTCGTAGGCATCCGTAAATCGCTTGTTGCTCTTCTGGAGCGTCCCGCGGTGCGGGTGCCCACCGCTTGTGCCAACTCGACGGCCATCATAGCCTTCTGGAGTATGTAGGCCAGAGCGGTACGATCCAACTTGGGGCTCCGTGGGTGGTCGACGCATATCCGCAGGCGATTGTGAGCCGTTCCTGTGTTGCGATCCTCGCCGAATGTACGTGGGGATCGCGTCCACTGGGCGTCCGTCCAGTTGCGCCGACTGATATCGCTGGTGGCCGGGGCTCGAACTCGTGGGCGGTTGTGTAAAGGTGTTGTTGGCAGGCAAATCGTCAAAAAACGGAGTGCTGCCTCGGGCATCGCCCGGGGCAGTGAAGTTTCTTGCATGGTCGGCCCGGGGATCTTGAATCGGCAGGTCGTTTCGCGATCCCGCATCGGATGGAGTCAGATCGCCACTGCCCTTGCCTAAGCCAATAGCCTTGAGGGAAAATGATGCTGGGAGTAGAGAGAACCGGCGCTTGTCCTTCTTCTCCTCGGAGCCTTGTGAAGGTGCGATACTGCCACTGCGCTTCTTACCGAGACCAAGAGAAAATGAGCGACGGCCGCCAGAAAACTTGGAATCCATGGAAGCCCGACCAGGCTCCTCACCAGCCATGTTGTTGGCAATGCTGATGGGGGGGTACTTCTTCTTCTCTGCCATTTGAGGCTCCGGACGCTTGCCCTTCTTACCGAAAACTGAGCCGCTTCGGCCGAGGATTTTGTTGCCGAGATCGCCGAGCGTGCTCGACCGTTTGTGGCCACGGACCTCACCCACAGGACGAGGAGAATCGTTGAAGCCAGATACACGAGCAAACTTGGGTGGCACGGCCACATTGTTGCGGCCCGCCAGTTCGTCATCGGGATGAGCCGGCTGCTGAATGCGACCTTGCGCGTTGGTATTCTCGACAGTTGGCGGAGCAGGCTGTCCGTAGTTGAGCACTCGGGATTGCAGACCCATAGACCCAGTAGATTGCATGGAGCCTCCCGTCTGCGGTCGTGCGCCTGAGCTTCCACCGGCCAAGTAGGTGTTGTCGGGTCCAGTCCGGCCATCTCCAGGTTTGCCAGAGTTGATCGACACTGGAGGGGCCTTTTGCTGTCCAGTCCGGCCATATTTGTCTCTCGAGGCAGGTTCCACTGGAAGAGGCTTGTCGCGAGGTGCAGAATATGAGGTAGCTGCGAGATCACGACCTTGCTCGTCGACACCTCGTTGTGTTTGGGTTGTTGGTGCGACGTATTCGACCTGCACAGTACGACGCTTGGCGTCTTTGGTAGTACGATGTGAAACGTCGGTAGGAGAGTCGATTTTGGCGTGGGCTTTCGAAAGACCACCGACAGCGTGCTGAGGGGATCGCTGCTTGGCGGCCTCGCGAACTGATGCGCTGCGCGTCATCATAGGAGTCTCGAAATCATCGATGCCGTTGTTGCCGTTTTGCACATCCAATGGAGAGGTGGTTGAGCTCGTGATGAACTCCACAATGTGTGCGTATTCACTGAGCCAGCTGTGACGGGCAACCTCGAAGAGGTCAGCGCGCTTTCGCGGGTTGGGAACGAGGATTCGGCGGAGGAGATCGCGGGCATGCGGAGTAACATATTCGGGAAAGGTGAGGGGCGTCGTCACGATATATTTGTATAACAAGTTGATGTTGTCACCTTCGGGATTGGCAGGGTCGTCGTCAAAAGGTAGATATCCAGCAAGCATGGCGTACTATAAAAGATTAGTACCGGAGCTGGCAAACAGCACATCAATAACGTACCAGAATAACACCGCAGCTCCAAACGTCAACCTTGCGGCCAGTGTACAGGGCATCGCTAACAACAAGCTCGGGCGCAGCATAGCAAGGGGAGCCGCAGCTGGTTTGCATGAGATCGCCCTTGCGCATGCCATTGGAGTGTACTCTGTCAAGGCCCATGCGCTTGACCTGGTCGCGATCTTGAAGGTTGAGCTCCTCCTCTTCTGAAAGATCCTCGTGAGGATCAAACGTGTTGGCAAAACCAAAATCCGTAATTATAATGTTGCGATTGCTGTCCAAAAGCAGATTCTCAAGCTTGAGGTCTCGGTGAACGATGCCCTTTTTGTGCAGATAGCCTACGCCAGAGACGAGCTGGGCAAATAGTCGTCGAGCGGAGCCGTCCTTGAGATATCTGTGGTTTAAAATGTAGTCAAACAGCTCACCGCCAGAGGCATACTCGAGAATAATGCCAATATATCTGTCAGTCTCAACCATGTCAAATAGTCGGACAATGTTGGGATGGTGCAGGCCGCGGAGAATGGTGACTTCGCGGCGAATTTTAGCCAGACGAGACGGGTTTGTTCCAACGGTATCCCTCTTGATCAATTTGATGGCAACCTGTGGGGAGATTGTTAGTGATTACGCGACGTAAAGCGCGTGACGCGGTATGGTGGAAAGGAGCCTACCTGAACACTGCTGTCTTGCTTCCATCCGAGTTTCACTTTACCAAATTCGCCTTCGCCAATAGTGTTTCCGAGGATGAAATCGCCGAATTTCGAGGTCCTGTGGCTTCGTGGGTGCTCCTGTCGCCGGCGACGGTCATCGGGCGTGCCTGAGGGCACCGAAGGCGCGGGAGCGCTCTCTCTAGATGGGCTTACGCGGTAATTTTCTTCGGGATTTGTGATGATGCGATTAAGGGTATCGGAGGCCTCGGGAGTACGCCTTGGAGTGTCGCTCTGATGGGTTCGGATGGGTATGGCAGTCTCTTGCTGGCGACCATCGCGGCTACCAGTCTGCCTCGACGCATCCTGGTGAGCAATGTGAGAGGGCGGCGAGCGGCGAGCCTTGGGAGAGTCGTAGTGGCCGTTTTGGTCAGCGTGGCGATGTTCATTTCTGCTAGGTTCGGCGTGGACATGTTTCGACGTGTCGGTGAGCTTCTCAGGGGTATATCTGCGGGAGTTGCCATTTTGGTAGCTGGATGAGGTCCGGGGGGGCGCCGGGGGGGCCATGGTAGACAAGGGGTCCGAGGGCACAGCTTGGGGGCTATTGTAATTGAAGGCAGAGTTGGTGGTAGGTCTTGCGGCGAGAGTGGTGGTAACGTCGTTGGGATAGGCGGCTGCACCTGAGCTGGTCTTGCGCGAAGGCGGGCGGCCGGCGGACTGCGACGCGGGCGAGATTGGGAGCGAGCCGTAGGATTCGCGGGTCGGAGAGGCGTGCGAAGACATGTATTGACGGTTGCTGGCCGGTGGCAGAGGAGAGGAAGTCAGGACAGGTGGCGGTTGATGGCGAGAGCTCTGCAGGGCCGCCGACATGACTGTCGAAGCAGCGGAGGTACGGCGGGGAGAGGAGACGCGCTGGGCGGCGTTGTTGCGAGAGGGAGGGGAGGCAGCCAGCGCAGGCCAACCCAAGGAAAAGAGACGAGGGTGAGATTCTCGTGTTTCTGATGGAAGGAGTCGGCCGAAGGGAAGACAGGCTGCGCGTGGAAAGAGGGCGGGCGTCTATCCGCGACGGCGATGCACAAGAGTGCAGCTGGGCGGTTAGAGGTTGAGTTGATGCGACTTGAATTGGCGCTCGAGATCAACAGGAGAGAGGCAGAAGAAAGGCAGGTGATGGGGGCCGGCAGCTGATTGGGTGGGCTAGGGGAGTCCTGGGCGGTCCTGGGCCTGCAGGGGGGGTTTTCGGGGAGAAGACGATGCTATAAGTAGCACTTTCAGCACGTCTTGGTGGCTTCCAGGTACCAAACGTGGTGGTCCACAGCGCTGCTGGGGGTGCTGAAGGCGCTGAAAACCTTCCAAGACCCGGTGCTGGGCTGGCTCAGCGCGGGATCGCGGCGACGAATCAATCAATCGCCTTGGTGCAGGCAGTAGAGAGGTTCTTGCAAACAAAAACAAACAACGCCCGTTGCCTTGCAGTGGCGGAGACAAGTCAGCGCCCAGAAACAAGGCACATGAGAATATATATTTATCTTTTCGGTTTGGCATGCGCGCGCAGCCGGTCCTTTTGCTGCGTATCGTCGCGGGCGCCTTGGCGTTGAGGATGCGGTCCTCACTTGCTAGACCAATGTTTCGTCTCGAGCGCAATGGCACGCCCACGAGCCGCTCTCAGCTGTCGAGCTGATAAGCAAGTCAGTCCACAGGTACAGAGGATACCGCAACAAGACAGCAGCAGAAACGACGGCCCGGTTCAGTGGGCGGGATGAAAGAGGCACTGGGAACAGCAATGGTGAGAGGAGGAATTGACAAAATGGTTGGACAAGATACGACGCAACGCGGCGCCACGCGACGACGCCAGTACGCTTCAACGACGGTGAGATGAGCCACGGGCACAGCCTTCTAGGTTGGTATGTAGCGGTGGTGGGTGCAACGGTGTCATCCAGTGGAAAGGCGGCTTGGTGAGAAAAGCAAAAAGACGTACCAGATAAATACCTACTAAATAGGTAGGCAAGCTGCCTTGTTTGGGGTCAGTCCAGTCTCTCCCTAAAGACAGATGGTGTTGGAATAAAAACAAAGGCCACAGAGAACAGAGAGAGACTCAACTCATATGATTTGAATCAAACGAGGGAAAAAAGCTCGCAGGGCAGGGGAGGGAGAAAAGAGGAGCTCAAGGGCGAAACGGGAATTCAGACGGCCGCAAATTGCATTGTCATGGAGGCTCCGGGATGGATGGATGGATTGGATGGATGAACCTCGCAAGTACGGAATACGGGGTATCCTATTGAAAGCCAAAAGGGAGCCATTGTCGCAGCTACGGCGGCGATTGACGATGCTGGGCTACATACTGTAGGTAACTAGATTCCTTTAATAATTATGAGCTGCCGCTCAGCTTCCAGCACTGCCTTGCCTCGGTCTATTCACTGCTGATTGTATCAGCAGCGACAATAGATCAACATCTACAAATTACATAATTTGTACAAATTACGAATAGTTACAAAATGGCAAGAACAGTCCAATGGCACCATCACTTTACCTTGGACCATCACAGAACCGTGCACGCGGTGGGTCAGCGGCCCTGTGCTCATCTCCAACGTGTTTTCAGGTAACTACCATCGACGAATTATGTAGGGTTATTATCCCAACTCTACATTATTACCATGTACTCGGACAAGTGCACCCAACTCAGACAAGCTCAGCGCTAAATATGCCAGCTCCGGATACATACATATACCTTCTGTTATTGGCAGGGGAAACAAAGGAGAGCGCACCAGCCCGTGTCGTCGACCCGGTTCCTTGTCAGCCTTCACTCTTCACTCGGGCGAGCCCTGCGGCCGGGGGAAACGCGTCCCTGCGTCGCTCTCGAGGCAACCTACAAATTATTCCATGCCCAAATGCATGCAGAGTGCAGAACAGCCCTAGCCTCAGTTGTCAGCCGGCGTACCGGGGTGCAGTGTAGTTACGGATATTCGATGCCTACCGTAGGTAGTTAATAACTATGTACGTATGTTACCTCTTCTTGCTGCGCCTTGCTCAACCTTGACCATTTCGGCCAACGCCGAGTGTATCAGCTCATGACAACTTGGTCCTTGTCTTGATCACGATAGTTGCATCTTCTGGTGCTGCTAATTGTCCATGTAATACTGCGTACGCAGATATCCGACATCTTTCATCAGGCACGGGCGTCCCGGACCTTGAAATTTACCGGGTTTGGTATCTTTCCATCTCGTTTCCTTACACGTTGCATTGACTACTTTTCTGACCATGCCGCCCGAAGATGACCACGTCTGACCGAATCTCACCCCGTCTCTTCACGTTAGTAATTAGTTGGCCGTGCGGCTGCACTCGCAAGTGATCGGCACCACTCACCACTCCTTCTTACACGACAGGGCACTTTCCACCAGCCCATGCTGCCATGTCTAGCGCCGAGGCCGTCAAGCCAAGCTATCAACCTTTTGGGTCTCATTTTACCTGCCGTTTCACCTCGGCGCCGCTCACCCCGCAATTACCAGTTGCCAGTACCGTCCTTGATACCGGCTTACTGGGAGTGCATCAAAGAGCACCAGCGGCCTATCCAATTCAATGCCTCGCTATCTCCTGCTCGTTAATCTCTGGCTCTTGACTATATTAGCATGCTTCCCAGTTTGCTCAACCGCGGGTCGTCGTAATTGGGTAATATATAATCTGTATCGGCCATGCCGCTCTCTCCACACACCTTGGCTTGGCGCATGGCAAAGGTATTATTATGAATGAAAATGTCTTCTTTGGTTTTTTTCCAGCCCCATGTATCCGTAGATTGATCTCAGCACGGACACGGATGATTCGTGGCTAACTTTAGAGCGTCGTCCCTCCACGCCTCCTCGAAGCCTTTGCTTCTTGTCGAGGCAATAGCCCAAGGTAGCTCGCATTTGCATCGCGTGTTCATCTGTCAAAGCCACCCTGGAGTATAACGCAAGGGAGCGCGCTCTTCGCACAATCGATCAGCACCAAGATCTCTGGAACAGCCTGTCATCAATCATGGATCTAGCGAGCCATCGTCCTCCCTCGGATTGACTCGCCCTATTGAGACCATGTGAGTGAGATCGGCAAATGATATAACGCCGAATATTCCCCATCGCTAGTTATTAGTTGTTTAGTAGCTCGGTTGTTGGATTGCAACATCTCACTCTACGCGTGGGCAGCATCTTGACGCGTCAGGTGGTCGGTCACCATGTCAAACGCTGAAACCACCCAAACTGCAAACACATGATCTACTCCGTACTCGGCCGGGGTTTAAAGATGGGCATGAATGATATTCCGGAAGACATTGTAACAATCGGATGAAGAGAAAAAAAGTACAGACGAGCCTGCATGAATGGCTGCTGGACAGGGATATTTGCCTCGGGTGACGCGGCCACGAGGCAAGTACCTAGACAATGGCAGCCACTCCATTCTTCGTCGTGAATGTGCAGCAGCGTTTCATACTCAGGGAGAAACATACACGGTCCAAACTCGCGATTTGTTTTAACTAGTTTCGTCTGTTCGCTGCCGAGTCACTGCATGTCAAAGCACAAAGGGCTGTCGCGCGCGCACTGTTCATCCAGTCCAAATATGGAAAAAAAGAAAACAAAGCCACCAACCCAACTGCAATCAAGGGAAGAAAAAAAAAAAAAAAAAAAAAAAAAAAAAGCAATCAACATGCCGCCATCCTCACCGTATCGTTCCTTACGCCCTCCATCATGTTCCTTTTTTGGCCTTTGTCTGTTTCCTATCCTGGCCTATGCGGTCGCGTCACCGCCGCTTTCGTTTCATCTCTCCTCACCCTCGTGCCAAAAACGGCAGTCGACTCGAGAGAGCGAGCAAGCCGCGAAAGACGCAGCAAAGTAAACAAAACAGAAAAGGGAAGAAATGATTGGTGTGTGGCGCGTCGCGAAAGAGGGGCAGATGAGATAAATACAAATAAAATCTGCAGGACAGGAAAAGAAGAACAAGAGACAAAGAAAATCGGATGCGGTGGCGCACATCGTGTGGTCACTTGCGGCTTCACAACACTTGGACAGGTGCTTTCTAGATCACACGCGTCTATTTCTAGACTGACAATCTCATGGGTCATTCAGTTTCCCATAATGAACACGTTGTTTGATAGCAAGAACAGGGACAAGATTACCTCTGTGATTTACGTCATGTTCGCCCAACACAGCTTACATCAAGTGTACAGATAATGACCGCCTGGAGCTACCCTATAGCAAAATCGAGTCATGTCGCACACAATCACTATTAAGTAAGCCGCAGGGTATCTGTAATTAGGTGGTATTATTCCGCAGAGCTCGATATTATTCCGCAGAGCTCTTTAATCTTGCGGGGTTGTTCATATTATACGAGTTGCTTACGACTCGTTATTATTGATATGCCAATCATCTATAGCTTAATGGAGATGTTGTAGTTGTCCAGCACAATTGCTAGTATACTCAGAACGCCAGTGTAGGCCAGTAAAATAGCCATGGCTACCGCTGGGGGGACGTCCAGTGTTGGAACCGTCAAGTTGACCAGTCCGGTCAGGAGGTTGGCGGCAAGGAACAGGCCCAGGCCGTTACGATTGAAAGCCCGCATGAGCTTGCTAGTGGCAAACTCGTAGGCCTCCTTCTCCGACCTCTTGTCGGTTGCGTTGTAAAACGCAGGGAAAAACACAGTGTCAATCAGGCAGTACCCGAGTACAAACACCGAGTTGAATGCTGCGACCCAGAGCACGTATGGCAGGTTTGCGATGCGTCTCGACACGGTCAAGCCTAATCCGTACGAGTAGCTCGTAGACAGGTTGTACAGAAGAACCCAAATACCCGCCCACACGGCCATGGTCATGAGCAACGTGTTGCGCTGCACGCCGGCGCGAGCATCGCTACGCGGATTCACCTTACGTGGGAGCACAAACATGCCCAAATCTTGGCCAGCGAGGAAGATGGCCAGATACCCGATGAAGCTAAAGATTCCCTCCCGGTTCATCGAAATAAGGTCGACACGGGGAGCGGTCAGGATGTATGCCCTGAGCGCCGTATTGTTGAGAGTAAGCTCGTACAAGCCCGACACTAACATGGACAGCGCTGCGTAGGAGGGAATGAATCGCAGGATTTCCTGGAAGAGAGCCACAAATGGTGGCAGGAAGCCCAGTGTGAAGAAGAAATTCCAATGCACTCCATATTCCGTCGTGTGTTCGGCATACTCGAGACCTTTGACGCTCAGGAAGCGAACGAAGCCGAGCGTCAGCAAGGGCACCGAATGACGAAGCGACCGGAGCAGCCGTGTAAACGGCGACAGAGTGCGTCCGCTCGCCTTCTCCTTGAGGACCGGTCGGGCAGCGACGACACCGGCGGTGAAGACGTAGGAGCCGACGCCGAGGTCCATGAGCGAGGTGCCCCAGGTCTCAACCTTGGCGAAGCGGCGGGGGAATAGGCGAAAATCGACGGCGAGGATGGCAATGTAGGTGATGATTTGCATGGACCCGCGGTACGTGGTCAGGAAGGGCTTCACAGGTACGGCATCGAGCGCCAGGCTCCTGCTCCGCTCGGTCGACTTGGTCAGGTTCGTCGTCGGCGGGGGCACGGCGAGCTTCTTCTTTTTAGGGGCCGAGGGCGGCAGCATGTAGACGAGGACCACGGGGGTGGCGAGGAAGATGCAAAGCAGCAGAGGCGACTTCGAGTAGAGGGTGGTGGCGAGCAGGATGGCGCAAACGTTGAGGCCATAGTCGACGAGGTGGCCGAGCGGGCTGACAGGCTGGAAGAAGGAGTGACGGCTCTGCAAGGCAGACCACAACAGCACGGCAATCTGTGACGGTTTGTTAGTTGCCAATGTATGTTCCCGGCCCATTCCCTGGCTTGCAGCTCTTGCGGGTATTGCCCAGTTGCGGGCTATTGTCTCTGCCAGTTTGCGTGCGCGGGAGCGCAAGCAAGCAACATGGCAAAGGCGAGCAACGCGCGTCCGAAACAAAACATGGGATGCAGAAAGCAAAAAAAAAACAAAACTTTTTTTTTCCTCGTCTCAAACTGATCGAGAAGCACGTACCAGCGCAACAGCCGTGACATTGTTGATCTCGGACACGGGCCCGCCGGATAGGTTGGACACAAAGTCCTCCTTTCGCCGTTTGTACGAGGTGGGATCAGACATTAGGGGGCGGGCTTTTGGAGTGGCGGAGTAGGCATAAAGAAGACAAGAGACCAGGGAGACAAGGGAAAGGAGAAAGAGTACTCCGTACAGCGAGGCTGGATGCGATGCCGTGGTACACGAGATGTCAAAGCCGAAAGGGATTTGCCAAAGAGGATTTTAAAAAAAATAGAGAGAAATGACGTGGCGGCTTGGAGGATGGACACGTAGCTTGGTTGGTTGGTTGATGAAAGACGGGAGAGCTCCAGAAATTGTATGGGGAGAGACGGGCGGGACTGGCTTGGGAATAGTTTTCATAGGTTAGTTCATACCTACCTACCTAGGTACTAGTAGTTCAGGGTCCGGCTAGCTAGCTGTCCCGCGCTAGCTACTTCGCTTATTGACAGCTCCATACTGTGATAGGCAGGTACCTAATGGTGGGCCTCGCTGACCGTCTTCGGCTACTTCACCATTTCCGTCCAATTGCCATTTTATTGCTGCTCCGACAGTTTGGCCAGCCGACTTGTTGAATCACCGTCCATTGACTGCCTCGCCTCAGAACCATGCATGCCAGCCTCGATCGACTACTGTAGGTACCGTGCAGGGGCATCGGACGCTGCCAACCCCCCTCGTTCCCTGCAACACTCCGAGAACTTGGCGGGCGCCTAGCAACACGCGGTTCCTTTCACATCCGCCACCCTGCAAAAAAAAAGGAAAAAAAAAACCACGAAGCAGAAATCAAATCAAATCAAATATCTTCCCATGGGACATGAAAGCTTTCAGCACCCTTTTAGCCCTTTGTCATGGAGGTGGCGCCGCGAATGGCCCTTCTTGTTCTTTGTGCATGGCTTATACGCCACACCGGACGCACAGGACACCGGATGGGCCAAGTCTCGCCACGCCTTTTTCTTTGTTCTCGCTCTTTACGATTCCTTGGTTTCCAATTATGCTCACAGAAATGTGACCCAAAGACTGCATGTGGTGGCTGTGAAAATGTCATCACATTGCCCCCATGGAGCCTTGGCCGTCCGTCCGTTGACCCCTTTCAGGTCAGTTCCAAGGGGGCACGATCCCAAATTCACACATGATTACGGTTCAGGATATATAAGAAAGCCCTCTCGAACCTTTTTTTATTTTATATTCTAATCTAGACCGATGAATCGTGCCAAGTATCTTCCCACCTTTTGCCTCTTCTCTTCTCTCGCATCCTCCTCGCTTGCTGCCACGGGCACTTAGACGCGACGCAAGCAACGAAACGGCCCTGCCTCGTCCAAGTGGCTGCCACGACATGACGTTTACCATGACCCCCCAGCACTTGAGCCTAGACCAGAAGCCACATTCCTACAGATTCCCACCTTCATCCCCAGACCGCCTGAGCGACGACATGGACACTGCCCCAGACGAGGCCGTCCTGCCCAGCCTACCCGGCAGGCGCCTCACCCGCGCGTCAAGGTCCCAGGCCAACAGCAAGTCTCTACGGATCGACACGGAGCAGCTTAGGAATCTCTCCATACTCGACAAGAGCTCGGCCAAGCAGGCCACCCGGTCCTTCGCCGCCGAGATGCGCCAGCAGCAGTTCCAAAAGTTATGCGAGTTTCTGTGGAAAACCGGTCGTGCCAACCTCGGCAAGAGGGACTCGCCGCACGTCAACATTGTCCCGGTGCGACTCCTGACGACACAAGACCCGAGCTACGACAGTGTCACCATTTACTCCGTGGTTCATTCCCAGGGGCACAGTCCCGTCGGCCTGCGCCGCAAGTTTGACCGCAGCTTGCTCAACGCCACCGTCCCCGAGCCTTTGCAGTCGCCCTCGACGCCCAACTTTGACCGCAACGAGCTTCTCTCGGCCATTGTCGACACCAGCAAGACGTTGGCGTCAAGAAGATCCCGGAAGAGCCCCCGGTCCTCCTTGTCCAGCAGGGGTACTCGCACGAGGCGAGACGTGGTACCCGAAGGTATCCCGATGCGTACGTTGATAGGAAGCCGTTTCCCGCCACAAAGCAGCAAAGCACTAACACGAGTCGTACACACAGACTTCCCATACGCCAGATCGTATCTTCCCATCTTGGCTTCCATCATCATGTCCAACCAAGTCCATTTTGGCGACACGGTTGAGCTGCCGCTGCCGTACCCAGACGCCTGGCCGGAGACGGTCGCATGGGTGTACACGGGCGAGGAGGAGCTCGTGACCGACAAGGTCCGGGAGAATGTCCAGTATCTCGGCGGTAGAGTATGCTAAGCACAAAAGGAGGAAAGACCCTTTTTTTGAGCCTTTGTGTGGTTTGGATAAAGAAGCTCACGACAAAGGAGGAGACAAAGGAATGGTCTTTGGTGTGGTGCGTGGTGCATCGCCACTTGCATGTCTTGTGATGAGTATTAAACGTAACGGGGATCCGGCTTTGTTCTTTTCTTTCTTTCTTTCACTTTGTTCGTATAGGGGAAACTCAAATTATGATAACGACTAGTCACATTATTTTAAGCGTTGAAAGATGATGGCATCTTTTTTTTTTCCTCTTTATTTTCTTTTGCTCTGTGGCTGTACTTGATTGTTTATTCAGGTGCGTCGCTTGTGGGTTGCATATGATAGATCATCAGTCGTTGAGAGCCCAAGTGACTTATACGAATGCAGCAGTCTCGATCAGCCTGTGCATTTGCATAAAAGGTCTAGGCTAAGGTTGCTCTGTCATGATGCGTGTACAAATGACGCCACGGCTCACTGCAGTCGCCGTCCACACACTCCACCGTCCAACGTCCCTTTTCCCTTTTGTTCTTCATCAGGGTCGCTCTGGTGCTTTCCTCGAGGGAATCGCGATGCAGCCCTCCCCCCCCCCTCCCCCCCCCCTCACTCCACACACACGTATACAAGGAACACGCACACATCGGCCTCGCACATCTCGCATGCAAGCCAAAGACAAAGCCGTCGTGGCAGAAAGAAAGCAGGACCGCGATGCGTTGCTCATTCACACGCATGAGTCATTGGATCAAATCCGGGGATTGGTGCAGAAAGAGGTCCGTCTAGACCATGCCCGTCGTATGAGCCGGGATATGTCGTCGACTATGAATAGAAAAGCGCGGGCATATCAATGCAAGTAGTATTGACATGTCAAAGGAACTGCATGCCTCGACAATTCCGGCAGTCCCCTTTCTAAACTCGGCTCTCGTCTATGCGGCATTACGACACTGTCGTTTTTTTTTGTCCTTGCCACGCAGCCCTGGCCCCAGAAAATAGAAGAAATAGAAGAAATAAAAAAAGAACTGCTGCACCGACGTAGGCCCCATCTCACTCGGCCTTGGGAGTAGTAGCGAATCTCACGATGCTAGCCCCGCGCGTGCGTGTCCAAGTACGCACGACCTTGTCCCGGCCCGCCTTGTCGACTCCGGGGACAAGGACCTTCTCTCCCGGCGGCGTTCTCCCGGTGCAGGGCGATCCAGGCGGATAACAAGGTCCGAACGCCCGGCGTTTGTCTGGGCTGGCTTTTTATTTCGAGAAACACACCCCTGCCTTGACCTCGTTCGCGCACCGCTCCTGCGCCCGCCATGATGCGCATCTTTTTTTGTCAATTTTTTTTTTGGGGTATGATCCGAGACACAATAACAAAGACCTGCGTTGTTGTCGAGAACAAAGAGCTCGTCCAGCAAGAACCCCCCCCAAAAGGCTAGCTTGCGCCATGCAATGCAGTGCCCATGGGGGAGGGAATCCTGGCTAGTATGTAGGCGTGCGTGGCTGCTGCAGGACTAGTTATCAGGAAAACCCCAAGAAACAAAGCGCCATTCGCTTCAGGTAAACAAGAGGAAAGGGAAGAACGTGTGTTCGCTTTTGGCGCATTACTGAATACAGAGTTTCTTTGTTTGACCACACCCCAACAGACGCCACCACGCCTATGCACGAATGGAGTTGCTGCCAGAATGAGAGAATGCTATCATTACTTGGGCGGAAAATAGAAGACGAAGCCAAAGTACCTCGAAAGTACTCCGTGCCATGCCGCGTTTTTCCCTCGAGGGACCCTGGCCCCTGTTGAAGAGAAGGCGTCGGGGAGTCCAACTACCACCCCCCCCCCCTCCAACGGCGACGCAGGATGGGTGGCAGTGGCGCTCCTCTCCATCTGCCAGCAAGACTTTGGGATAGTTCGACTTTTAGTTTATTAGCCATTCTCTCATCTTTGAAAGTAAACTCTCGCTCGCCATTGTCTCGACGGAAAAAGGAGGACAGTGTAGGGTCAAGAGAGCAGTGCTGTGCTGTCCATTTTCATTAAGAGGAAAACGGTCATTGGGCGGGCCGCTCCACCATGGATTTGGTCAACTTTTTTGCTCCAGTTTCTTTCGTTTGGGCCCATGATTGATTGAATATCTGTACCAGTAGTTATCTGCAGCAAGCGGCGTTGAGAATGACAGGTTCTTTTTTGCTTCCGGCCTTGTGCTGACATGTCCGAACCCCCCTCCGGGCTTGGCTTGTGTTTTTTTTTTATTTGCTTCTTCTCGGCCCTTGTTCCATCATGATTTGCGAGCGAATATGCAAAGCATTTTGCTTGGCTCCACGAGTTGACCCTCGTGGCCCCCTCTTTCAGTCTTCTTCGGCGTCGGGCTTCACTCCTTTGCTGCGGAGAACCGAAGCGGGTTATTTATTAGACGGGAAAATGCGGTAGTTCTTTGTGACGGTCCGATGCATTTTGCTGATAAGTCGGTGAGGTTTGCGTGGCTCGAATCATTGTTGATGCTTTCAATTGTAACTTGGTTATTCTCTAGAAAGAAAATGAAACAAGTTGTAAACCACGTCGCCGAAGTAGCCGCAGTTCTCGAGCATCACCGACGGCCGCCGAGTGGCGCTTTCCTCCCCCTCCCGTATCCGGCGCCGTTTCTCGCAAGGAATTGCGGCCTTGCGAGTCTCGGTGCATGTGGCTGGTCTCTTTGTCCATCAGCACTGCCAGCACTGCCCGGTACGGCAGTACCAACTTAGACGGACCGCTCCTCGTTTTCTCTTATTCATGTTCCTCAGTAACTACATGCACGTCCCTCCCAATCGCAGGGCTGGGGCGGAAATATCAGCCCGAAAGGCCCTCACCCCATGTCCATGTACATATCCCCTTTGTGGTTGCTTTTTCTAACTAACTAGCGAGCCGCAACCACCGACGACCATCTGTGGCGTCTATGGATGAGGACCCTGATTATTTGCTTTTTCTGGCCTTGCCGAGCGACCAGAGTGTGCAACGGCCAACGCATCACTGTGGTACTGCCGGAGGGCTTTGTTTTCTCTCCCGTCGGTGGTCCTGTTGCACCATCGGTCCTCGACGTCGACGAAGCGTGCCGGTCAATGGAGTACAGTTCTCACAGCCGCGGCAAGTTTTTCTTTTTCCTTTCTCCTCTTCACTTTCGCCGTTTTCTCTTGGGGGGTTCGTTGAGACACAAGAAGAGGGCACGGATGGGGCCTCTGCTTGTTGCGGACCGCTCGGGAACTGCCGCTCCCATGTGTTCATGTGGAGATTACACCTCGGTGATGCTCGTCTATTCGTATAAAGTAGTCGAGGAATGAATGGTATTGGGCTCTGGTGCGTAGACATGAATGTGAGAGCATCTTTCTCATGGTCAGATTTCATTTGTCTCTGTAGTTGGGAATAGAGTTGCGTTGTGCATTGGAGAGGATTACTGGGCAAAATACGCGCCCCGGGCTTAACCACGAAGCAAAGTCAGCAAAGTCACACCCGAACTGTTCTTGGCTCGGCGCCCCAGGTATACATACATACTGGTAACTAGGTGTGCGCCGGGGAATTTTCTCTTACGAAATAAGTGGCTCGGAAACAGAGCGAGGCTAATAATAAGCCCTTCATCGCCTTGTCGTTCCACCCAATGTAACGGTGGGTTCGTGGCCAAGCCATCTCGCCCCATACCCCCCTGGAAGACCTGAAGAAGAATAGTAAAGCTGTCCTCGGTCCGGAGTGGATTGTGCAAGGGCTTGTCCTTGTCGGCGCAGAAGAGGAGGGGAATCACGAAATCACGACATTTCTTCAGATGTCCGCGATGTAGGAGGGGCCAGAACCCTGTCGAGGGGGCTTTTGTGTTGGAAAGCGAGCGAGTTCATGCATACATACATTGTACATGGACTTTGTACGGAGAACATACCGACAAGCTCGTGTGGGAACGAACCACCCCCATCAACGAGGGCATCTCCACAGCAGCGTGAGTCGGAGAGAGCACGTTGCTTGGCTCGAGTCCTCGAGGGAGCCCCCATCGGGCTCCCCCCATCGCGACGCCTGTTCCTTGCAGCTGCAAGCCATATGACACCGATATTGGTTTTCAGGTACGAACCAGCTGCCTTGGACAACGAAGACAAACGTTGGACCCCTTGGCTCCGTAACTACTCAATTGGAACAGCAAGGCGCAGCCCGAAGCAGACAAGAGGAGAAGAAGAGACGCGTACTAAACAGCCAAGCTTTCGCCCAGTCTTCTGGATCGGCGACGCTGAGAGCCGCGTCCGCCTGTAACTATGTATCTGCGGGTGTTGTCGTATTAGTCAAGGAGAAGTGAAGGAGGGGAAATGAGGACCAAATGGTTGGTATTATATGACGCATTCCCACCGCGCAACACTCTGTTATTACGCATCACGCATTACGCACTCAGAATTACGCACTATGAATAATGGCAATTTTGATGTTGAACCAATTCATCAATTTCTAGTTTCAAGTAAAAAAAGTACTGGGACAGGATACACCAAACTCTTTGCATGTGTTCATTTTCCCCCAGCAAAGTGCCGCCTGTCATGCACGCCGGTCCACACAACCTGCATGAACTCCGTAACTACTAAGTACCGTACATACAGATTACAGCGTTGACAATTATTGGTGACTTTTGGACTTTGTTTGATATGTGGTTAGCCGACGTGGGCGATCAAGGTTGCTGCGACCAGATTAGGAAGGCCATTGGCATGGTCTTCGACAACAACTAGTTACGAATATACATACCTCTTCTATTTTTTTTTCTTCGTCCCGCGTTGTTCCATCCAACACACCCCGGCTCCATGGGGCATGGAGCAAAGTACAGTCTCTTATGTATCCAGTCGTATATAGTACAGAGCTGAGGCTGCATGCAATAATATGCCCACAACGCTGTTGATAACAGAGACGGCTCTTGGCATGGGAATAGAGACAAGATCCCGGACTGCAGAAAAATCGCATTAATTGGAGCGCGCATTGGCTGGCGCTGGGGAAACTATTATTCTCTGTCCACAATTGGCTCCCTCAACAATGCAATCGACCATGGTCGGTCCCCCTCAGCCTTTGATACCCGAATAAGGAAACCCTCTCCGCGCGACCAAAGACAGGGTCTGTTGCCCCAGCTCTCTTCAACCAAGAAAGAATCTCGCCGTTCGTTTATCCCGTCCAGCGGCGCAATTGGCCATTGACTGGTGGTGTTGATACGACGGCGGCGCAGCAGCACGCAGCACGCCTGCATCGAGATGGGACAAGGCTGCGGAGCAGAATAGAACCGAAACCAAACTGCAGGCAAAAAGCTTATTGTCTCTGTCTGCCATTGACGCCAGCCACCAACGCCTGCAAGCCTCATCCCGACAGCACACACACACCCCTGCTCCATCGAAATATTGGCTTGCATATTGCTCCATGAACCTGCATGACCAAGTGCGACCTAGTTACAAGAATAACTAGGTAAAACTACTGATACTGGCCTGGTGCCGAACTGCCTTGTCCACACCTGTCGGAGGGAGGAGGGAGCCTAACCACTAATACTGACTCCAGAGTAGGAGCCACGACGGCCATGCTGCGTCATGCATCTCATTTGCACTTGATTCAATTCAAGTGAGATGCTACAGCCAACAAAGCTGTAGTGGTATGCAGAATTCATCTATCGACGGTGCCAGTGACAGTGGTCTTCGATTACTCGTACATTGGCTCGTTGTGGCCAAGCATGCATCAACCTGCTTGCTCTATGCTTCTTCGCTTCCCGTCTCTATTCCTCCCAATTACCGCTCGCTGCCCCAAAAGCATAGAATCGATGCGTAATTTTCCGTATCCAGATATTCCTCTTCACAAGACATAAAAATCAACTTTTTAACTCCACCCCAGCCTGTAGTCTATTCGTGACCCATTCCAGTGGACTTTTGGCCATCCAACTGGCAACATAAACAAGAAAGAAAACCCAAATTTCGTCGAAAATCCGAAGCAACCTGGTCTTGCTTTATAAAACCCTTTCCCTTGAAGAGTGCTGTGTACCCTCTCAGGGCAATGCATGTCTTTGGTGATACAAATTCGTCACGAGGAGAGACGTAAAAAAACAAGAATAAAACAAGGTCCCCTAAAAATAGGAAAAATGCCGAGAGACGGCTGCTGCCAGATCAACCGGACTTGGACCCAATCGATGCTTTGTTAGTACGAAGACACCATGGTCTCGCCAACGTAGCCCAGGGCAGCGTCATGAACAATGTCGGGCACTCGGATGGGTATGTGCGACGTGCTCGAGTCGTAGGCAGCATACCCTCGCTTCTCCCAAGACACGTCTCGCTCTTCCTGACACTGTACAGGTCGTCCCTTGTGACGTACATTGTATCGGATGAGAGAGACGGTGCCCGGTGGTGTCTTGAGAACGATGGCTCGTCGTGGTGCGGGGGCAAGACGCTGCGCATCGTTGGTGTCGCCGTCGGCTCTACTACCCCACGACGTCTGGTAGGTGGCGGACTGTTAGTGGTGCTACCGGGGAGTAAAAATATGGGATCAAACATACCATGTTAAGAGTGACGAGGGCATAGAGCTTGATCAGACCGTGCAGGTAGCCAAAGACGATGGAGAGAGGAAGGTAGGCAATGTCGGCGGGGTGCCGGCGAAAGAGGCCCATGAGCTTGACGACCTTGGTAAAGGCAAACATGAAGATGAACTGGGCCCAGAAAGCGTACTGGCGACTGTCAAGAGACCACTCAGCCGTAGCCCACCAGCAAGCAGCGAGCAGGAGCGGGTCAATGGCAAAGGCGAGAGACGTAAAGGTTGCAATGTACAGGGCATAAGTGCTCCATGGCTGCTGGCTGCAAGAGAGTTGAGTGTTAGCTTCATGCACGTGGCTGGGTCGCGATCGACAGTCAGTTTCTAGGTAGCTTGTATGCTTGACTTACACCCAGACGTGCTTCTCACGGACGAGACTGGTCCAGTTGCTGCGCCAGTTGCTGCGCGCCCACCGGGTGCACTGATAGAGGAATTTCGGGCCATTTTCCAGCGTCGTCTCGAGCTCGCACTCGACATGGTACTGAATCCACGTCTTCCACTGGTGGCTGACGAGCCAGCGCGTGACAAAGTTGTCGTCGTCGGCGTTGAGAATCCACCTGCGCCACTTCTCATTCTTGAAGCCGTCCAGGAAGTCGTGGCTCTGCAAAATTTCCGAGCGATAAGCGCCCGTGCGACCCGACATGCAGGAAGTACCGCCGTCCATGTTGTGCGTCGCCGAAATCTCAAAGTTGCGCCGTTCAATGTAGGCGGCGCCGAGCCAGTTCCACAGGCGACCAAACAGCGGCGCATCGCGCTCGCGCCGGACTCGCTGGTTAGTCCCAACACCACCCATTTTGGGGTCCTCAAAGGGCGCGAGAATCCAGGGCATCAGAGTCGAGGGCCAGGTAACGTCGTCGTCGGCCATGATGGTAATGGGCGTCTTGACAAGAGGCAGCGCCTCGCAGACCTGGAGACGCTTGTTGGCAATGGCTGTATCCAGGACGCGGATGCAAGGGTAGCCGAGCGTCGCAACAAGCTTGTCCAGGGCCTTTCTCTTGTCGTGCGTCGTCACCAGGATCATCTCGGCCGGTTTGCAGGCGAGAATGCTCTGAAGCGACGGGCGAAGATCCTCAAACACATTATGAATGGTGGGAATGACAACCGTGACATCTTGGTTGGTAAAGGTCGGCTTGGCCGCGATTGGCTTGGACTTGTAAGCCCAGTGGCTCACGCAGTGAACAAAGAGGCGAAGGTAGCGATGGACCCTGTTGTTTGTACAAGTCAGTGCGCGCTGAGGTTCGTGAGCAGGGCGCTCTCAGCTTACCAGAGAAGCCAGAAAACAGCAGACCAAAAAGTGGAAGAGTACCAAAAGTCAGTAGAGAACCAGGGCCATGCCGGAAAGGAGAACAATGGCCTGATTAGATGGTCGATACTGATCTGTTCCATGGTGTCGTGGAGCCTCGTGTTGGAGTGGCCAGGCTACCTAACTAGCCATGGAGCAAGATAGCAAAAGCAAGGTGCACTGCGGGTGGCGGCAAAATTGACAGACGAGCTCAATGGCTTGGGAAAGAAGAACAAGACAAGTTTTGGCGTCTCTGAGATTAAATAGCCAAGCAAGAATTTTTTTGGCAAACGTGTTTGTTGCTGCAAAGCTAAGCGAGGCAGGCAGTGATTTTGGCGAGCAAACGGCAGAGTGATGTGAGAAGTAGTAGCAAATTAAGCGACTAAGCTACCTCAAAGCCAAATAATGAGATTAACATCGACTCTTCTCTTGGGGCTCTCTGAATCAGAGCTGTTTCTTGGAGTGACCAACGGGGCAAAGGGCAAACGAGGGTGTGCGTTGGAAGCTGCGTTTTTGGAAAACAAGAGAGTGATGGGAGATGGCGAGACGGCCGTGATGGGGGACAGGCAAGAGTACAACGAGGCCACGGCAGGAAGGGAGTTTAGAGAAGCAGAGTCATGACGTGAGTCCAAGCAAACCAATTGAAAAGGGACGAAGAGAGGGATGAAGGAGGAAGAGGGGAGGATAAGCGTGGTAAGAGACGCGACAGAAACGAACATGATGTTTGGAGGGCAAACGGGATATATAAACAGGTAGGTAGGTAGGTTGGAGGTAGATCGGTCGTTGCCAACTAGCAGCTCGTGGTTGAGGCGAGTTTCGCAGGGTGTGCGGGAGAGCAAGAGAGGCAAGCAGAGACCCATGGATGGCATGGGCCAGGCTGGGGGTGAGAAGCCGAAAGGTCCACGACCATTGACACACCTGCATGAAGATGGGGAACGGGTGGATGGACAAGTGTATGTGTGCAATGTCACGTCTGGAGCTTGAAGAGAGAGTGCATGTATCGCAGCGAGGCAGAGAGGGGGGGGGGGGGATGGATCTGGACGGCGTTTTGGTGGATTAATAAATTGCCTGTTTTACGGGAGACCACGTTGATAACTTGCGGAGGGTAACTGAATGAACATGTCCTGCCTTGACGAAGCTGGGGCGTTTCTTGTTCGCTGCTTTGTTCTTTGGTTTTCTTCTGTATGGTTGGTACGTTGTAGCAAGTATCTAAGTTGTTATTTTTTATTAATATAGCTTTCTAATTTATTATATTCAAGTACAGGGCCTGTCTGGGACCAGCAACTGCCACCTGCCGCCTGCCCACGACGGCTGGTATTAGCGTGTCACCTCACCAGCGCTAACACAATACATAGCTACCTGTAGGTAGCTATGAATGAGACCGCTTGACGACCAGTAAAGGCAAGGTATCCTTGTGCCTGTGGGCTTGATGTTGTACATGCGTAGGCAGCCTTGTATTTGTAAATGGACAAAATGACTATATCGGCATCATTCGATAAACATTGCCTTTCTGCAACAGATCCATGCACGGCGCGTTTGGTAGTACCTACCTACGACCAGTGCTTGCAGTTGCTTGCAGTAACTGTAATCGCAGTGTGGACACCATCTTTCGTGATTTTTAGTATTCCTAGTGCCCTCCAGAGGCTCCAGCGGGCAAAGGCCTTCGGAGCGGGCCTCTCAAAGCCACCAGCTCGAAGCCTCCGGAGCGCCTCAAAGCGCCTCTAGAACGCCTCGTTCTCTCGGGCTCTTCCTCGTACACTGCTGCATCTTCACTACCTGCCTCCGACCTATTGCTTCAAGGCCCCTAAAACCACCGAAACCACTGATCTAGATGCCTAGACCTACCAAGGTAGGAGCTACGAAGCGCATTGCTTAAACTCGCCGGCTGCAGTGTCTGTACTCTTCATGTACTTGTCCTGCTACCGAACCTGCTCCAAGTCTACCGTCTTGTACCCCACCTCAACCTTCACTGCCCCATCATCGCCTTCACCTCGCTCTCTACTATCTTGACGCCTCTCCATCGACACCTCACTCACTCCAAATTCTTTCTCCTCTCATTACAGCCCTCACCTTGTCCCATCGTGCATCGTACATCTCCACCAACCTAACCACCATTGTCCATTCTCTCGACCCTGGCTGCCTGTCGCTCTTCTGCCTGCCCGCCCTCGACAACCTGCAAACACCTTGACCAATGTTGGTACGGATAACCTCCCAGCTGTCAAGCTGGCTGCTCCAGACACCCCCGACTCCTCAGTCTCCTCAACTTTCGAGCAACATCGCCCGCTCTTGGCATGCCTCTCCACACCCCTCGCCATTATCCGTGGACCGGGTTTTGCTGATTGGCGTGGGGAAACACCGGCCTTCGTCAACGCTAATAACTCGTCCCCTGCCCGCACCTATCCCGCTGGTTGCAATCTTCCCTGTCCCATCGATCCTGGCTGGCAGCCTTCATGTCGTTACGAATGGCTCTACCAAGCGCCCAGCTCGCATGTTTCGGCGCCTGCTTGGATTGCTTGACCACCCTCGTCACCCTATCACTGTGTCATGTTGCCTCAACGCACATTACGCGACGCCGGACAATTTCGTCCTTTCAGAGAAGACTAGCATGATGCTAACAAAAAAAGCAGGGCACAGCCTCGGGTCGTGTTCGAGCTTGCCTGCCCCCGCCGCCCACTGTTACTGTTACCTACAGACTGACATTCTCAGTCCTTGACTTTCGTGCGACAATGCGAGAACTACTCGGTCATACACTGCTATCAACTCCAGTTTTCTCGGGCCCTACAAGCTACAGCTGGCCTTCACTGTTGCTCTGCAGCTCTCTGCATATATGCAACTAACGATTCCTCTACACCAACCTATCTCTCGGCGAGGCCTTCCTTACACCACGCTACGCTAAAAAGCCAGCACAGGTGTAACAGCCTTCCTCCGACACCCTTCCCTGGTGCGACAGAGCATCAACATCGCTTAGTGGATTAGCAGCAAATTCAGGCCTGAAGGTCTTCCTCTCCTGGCTTGTTGGAAGTCTGTTGGCATTCGAAACTGTTCGCACATTCCACAGTACCGTACATGTGCGAGCTCCGCACCATGTACAGGCGCTACCTACCTTGTTGCACATGGATTGAATAGTTTCCTCACCGAGCCGCGGTGCCTTTCTTTCCCGCCATGAGGGTGTAGACTAGTCGAACCTGAAGCAACGTCCGTTGAGGCTTTCTTCAAACGAGAAATGAGCCGCAATGTCAATGCAGAGGCTGTCGAGCTGTTGACATCTCATCCAGCACGGTCCCCCCAATTCACAAGGTTCATAATTATGCCTATTAATACCACAGAGAAGGCCATATCCTTGTCGCCCCTACCTTGTTCCGCGAGTGGGGTTACAGGTTGACCATTTGTAAACGGCAATCACTACGAATTACAAACAAGACACTTCCCTCGGAGTCTGAGAACGGGCCGTGGCGACGCTAGTACCTTCAACAAGATCCATGGTCTTACCGACCAGATTCCGCAGTGGAGCTCCTGCTTGCTGAGGAGCACTCGCCCACATCAGACTGCTGCCCACTCCGGACCTTTCATGTTGGGGCTTCTGGAGAATCACGAGAATGGAGAATGGATACTTGCGTGTTAGTACTCCATCAAGCCTGCCGGCATTGCTCCCCCAAGGTGTGAGACCCTGGTCCTAGTCTGGACTAAAGGTCAGCCAAGGTCACTGCCATAGAAGCACACTAAGAATCATTGCTGCCACCCAATGCCCTTTCGTTGCCGCAGCTCGCCTCGGTTGCATACCTACCTGGCGTTCTAGTAGGCGCTAGCCTGGCCATCGAGTTCGAATCGTCCCACAGGCTTTATTAGCTGCTGAAAAGCTGTCGCAGGTGGGGTTGCTCCAAAGTTTGACAGGGATTTACGGTGACCTGCACTACTTGATGCACCTCGATCAAGATGGTAAGCATGGTCGTCTTGACCTTGGTTGGCTTCCTCTCTTTCCTCTTGCTTTGCTCGGTTTAGCTGATGCACAGCGCAGGTAGCCGCCCATCTTTGTGGTGGGACACTTAGTGAGCCCCGAATATTCCAACTTCTCACCAGCGGTTTGGAATGCGGTGGACCGCGTCTTTGCCTCTCACATGAGATGCTTGCTCGGCATAACCAATTGTGCTAGTAGCCGCTTTGTTGTCTCTTGCAAATGATTTCTTGGTCAGACTACTCATGGCAGAATATCCACTCGACATTGTTCACAGAATTCCCGTGTCTCACCTGGTGGGAGCATGCCATTGAATCTGGCCCGAATCGGCTCCAAGGTGTAACTAGTTGGTCTCCAACGGCATTGACAGGTTTGATGATCCTCCAAAGCCATCACATGTGCTTGAAATGCGCAGCATCACATGTCCTCCATAGGTGAGTTAACGGCTGTGCCGGTTAACTAACCGCAGCACGTCATACAAGTCTAACGCCATTAATAAGAAGGCAGCCCTGAGTTTGCACTATTGACGGGCAGATCTCGAAAAACGCATAACACAGATGACACATTTCGCAAAAACAGCTAAAATGTTGTGTCGCGCTTCTTATCTTCCTCCTCTTTACAGAAATGATCAGGGTGCTGGTGGATGTAACTTGTAAGTGCACATCTTTCTGGCCAGTGCAGTAGCCCTGAGACTAGCAATACTAGTGCAGCAGACGGAGGCTTGTCTTTGCCAACAGAGCGTTCTGGCGTGTCAAAGCTGCCGAGAGCCTGTCGGCAAGCTATCATGACCTTGCCCCATCAGCTGGGGCCAGCATAACTACAACGCTGTGGCTGAATATCAAGGCGCGTTCTGCAGCCCGAAGTCGAGACTCTTTCACGAAGAGAGGCAACACACTGACCAACATATTATGGAGACGAATATCACCAGTGGGTCTAGATCCCTTCCCGATTTGATGCTCTGGTTGCCTGGCAAGCGTTGCTAGAGTTTGTTCTACCAGACCACACTGGAGAGCCCAATCAAATGCAACAAATCATCCGAGTTGCGGCCATTTTTTCATGTGGGCTGACTTTACGACGCCTTTGCCATTCTCTTGTGGATATTCACGGCCAAGATGGACCCCGAACAGGAGTGCCCATCTGGGAGGTGGTGGC